CAGCCCTGGCTGTGCCAACCCCTGTGAAGATCTGCAAGCTTTCACTTCAGCCCCAGGAGCTGAGTCAGGCTTTTATGAGCTCTTGGAATTTGCTGGGGAAGCAAAGTGCCCGGGAGCTCGCGTGAGCTGGGCTGGGGGATGCTCTTCCCTCCTGCCCGGGGCTGTGCCAACATCTGATCCTCCAGGAATGCAATTCCAGGCAGAAGCTGTGGGATGTTTCTCCAACTCCCACATCCTCTGCAAGAATTGGGTTGGGTTTTTTTATTTTATTTTGCTTTTTTCCTGAACGTGCATGGGAAGAGGTGGGAAGAGCAGCTGCTCAGACCTCTTCCAATGGGCAAGGTGAACACAGTGAGTGCTGGGGACAAAACAATATGTCCCCCTCTCTGTGTGAGCCTGTCCCCTCCCGGGCTGGCTGTCATCTAGGGGAGTTCAGTGGCCCGTTTTCCATGGCTGGCACGCTCCTGGGGGAGCCAGCCCGGCTGTTTGCCCATCTGGCACTGCCAGGTCTTTGCAGGGAGGATGGCTGGGCTGAGATGGGGGAGCACAGGGGCACTTCCTGTTCTCTGCCCATTTTCCATGGAAATGAACCCAAATTCTCTCTTGTCAAGTACCCAGAAGGGGACAAGGAACTGTCACAGTGGAGCAGGAGCAGGGGAGGTGGCACAGGTGGTGCAATGACAGGAGGAGGTGGCACAGCTGGTGCTAGAGGTGACAGTGGCACTGAGTGAATGTGACACCAAGCTGTGGTGGTGCCAATGAGGTGACTGAGCGGTGCAGGGTCCTGGCAGAGGTGACAGCAAGCTGGGGCAGGGGCCAGGTGACATATCTGTCCCAGGCTGGTGGGGAGATGGCCCTGGACCTCTGCCAGGGCACAGATGGTGGCAGCTGCGTTACCCTGAGCTGGTGCGTGGTACAAGGCTGCAGTGGCACCAGGCAGCTGGCAGGGAGGTGACCCCAAGCTGGGAGGGTGGCAGGGACAGATGGCACAGCTGATGTGGAGCTGCTGCAGGGGGCAGGTGGCTCAGGCTGTGGTGGGGAGGTGACCCTGCCCAGTCACAAGCTGTCACTGGCGTGTCAGAGAGGCGGCGTGGGGCAGCAGGGGCAGGTGGCAGCTGGGGCCAGGGAGGTGACACTGAACCAGGGGAGGGGGACACATCTGGGGATGGGGAGGTGACACTGCACCAGGGGAGGGGGCACATCTGGGGACAGGGAGGTGATGCTGAGCTGCTGTAGGGGGCACATCCAGCGACAGGGAGGTGACACTAGAGCTATGCAGGGGCACAGCTGGGGACAGGAAAGTAACGCTGAGCTGGCACAGAGAATGCACCTGGGGACAGGGAGTGACACTGAGCTGAAAGTGATGCTGAGCTGGTGTAGGGGACACATCTGGGGACAGGAAGGTGATGTTGCACCACTGCAGGGACACTTCTGGAGACAAGGAGGGAGCAGTGAGTCGTGCAGTGACATTTGGGGATCGGGAGGTGATAATGAGTCGGTGCAGGGGCACATCTGTGGGCAGGGAGGTGCCACTGAGCCGGTGCAGGGGCACAGCTGGACACAGGCAGGTGACATGGTACCAGTGTAGGGGTCCGTCTGGGGATGGGGAGGTGACACTGATCTGGTATGGTGACACGTCTGGGGACAGAGAGATGGCACTGAGTGGGTGCAGTGACACAACTGTGGACAGGGGGGTGACACTCAAACAGTGCAGTGACGCACTTGGGGGTGAGGAGGTGGCACCGAGTTGGTGCAGGGGCACATCTGTGGACGAGGAGGTGGCGCTGATCTGGTTCGGTGACACATCTGGGCACAGGGAGGTGACACTGAGTAGGTGCGGTGGTGACACATCTGGACACGGGGAGGTGGCACCGAGCCGGTGCAGGGGCACACCTAGACACAGTGAGGTGACACTGTACCAGTGCAGGGGCACATCTAGATACAGAAAGGTGACACTGCACCGGCGCAGGGCACATCTGGGGACAGCCAGGTGACACTGATCCGGTTCGCTGACACATCTGGGGATGGTGAGGTGACACTGTACCAGTGCAGGGGAGCATCTGGACACGGGGAGGTGACACTGTACCGGTGCAGGGCACACCTAGGCACAGGGAGGTGACAGTGCACCGGTGCAGGGCACATCTGGGGACAGCCAGGTGACACCGATCCTGTTCGGTGACACATCTGGGGACGGAGAGGCGGCACCGAGGCGGTGCGGCGCCACATCCGGACACGGGGAGGTGGCAGCGAGGCGGTTCGGCGGCCCATGCGGGCGCAGGTCCCGGCGGGTGTCCGTGCGGGGAGGTGACCGTCCGGCGGAGGTGACCGCGCCGCTCCCGGCAGTGCGCATGATACTGCGGCGCAGGGGCCCCGTGCGCGCCAACCCACCTTGAACCGGCCCGGGCCGCGGCGGCGGCCAATCACCGCCCACTCCGCCGGGGCGCGGCCAATGGGCGGCGGGCGGGGGCGGTGCCGAGCCGCTAAAGGGCGCAGGCTAGGCTGCACCGCGCGGCGGAGCGCAGGTGCGGCGCGGCGCGGCGCGGGGATGGGCGCGGGCATGGGCGCAGCGGCGGGCGGCCGGCCCTGAGCCGCCCCTCCGGCCCCGCCAGCCCCGCCGAGCCCTGCCCGGCCACGGCCAGCCCGGCCCGGCCCCGCCCCGCCCCGGCCGGGCCGCCCGGCGGGCGGAAGATGCTGCGCACCGGGGGCCGGTAGTACTATGATTTGGTATGTGGCCGCTTTGGTAGCAAGTGTGCTCGGCGCCCGCGGGCTGCCCGTCCAAGGTGAGTGCGGCCGCGGGGTGTTCTCCGCCGGGGTGAGCCCGGGAGGGCCGCGCCGGGGTTTGCGGGGCGGCGGCGGGGCCGCCTTTGCGTGTCCTCCCCCCCTTCTCCCGGTGTACCGGATGCGGCGGGAGGGATGCGCATGGACCGGGAGGGATGCGCGCACCGGGGGGGGGCATCACGTCCCGGGGAGAGGGTACCGGGAAGGGGCTGGGGAGGAGGGTAGGAGGGGGAACTGCGGCTGCCAAGGGGGTTTGCGGGCTTCGCGTCTTCCCCGCTGTCGGTGCGGGGACCGAGCGCTTCCCGCTGCGGCGGGGCGCTGGCGATTCCTTCATCCCCCGCTGCCGGGGGGAGCCGGGAGCGCCCGGCGCATCCTCCCTCCCTCCGCAGGCGCTCGGCGGGGCTGGCCGTGACCTCCCCGAGGGCAGCGGCTGCAGCTGGGCAAGTTCGGGAAGCCGCGCTGCCGGTGCGGCGGAGCCGCTGCCCAGGGGCTGGAAATTCCCTTTGGGAGAAGGCGAGCGGCTGCGGGTCCTGGCGGGGAGGGAAGGGAGCGCGGCTGGCGGAGTGTCCCCGTTGATCAGGGATGGGCAAGCTTTTCTCCGCATTCGGATTTTCTCCTCTCATCCTGAGGAAGCCCCTGCGGCAGCTCCGGGGGGTGCGGGCGGCGTTTGCCCTTCCCTGCAAGGGTAGCCCGGCTGGGCAAGGAGAAATGCGGGAGGGATTCGTCGCCTTCCCCTGCAGCGCCCCGGCTGCGGGTTTGGGGGTGACTTTGCTGCCACCCCCCCGCCCAGGAGAGGCTGCCCTCCTTCTCCCCCCACTGCGGGCTGGCTGCTGTGCTGTGGTAAACTGAGGCACAGGGTTGTCCAAGGTCAGGACGGAGACGGCAGCAAGGAATAACCCTGATTTTCCTGCTCGAGCTTCTTTCCCTTCAGCCGCCAGCCCCCTCCCACCCCTCCGAGCCATCCCTGCAGGTAGAGGGGAGCTCCCTGCCGCTGGTGCAGCACCGTCCCCCATCTCTGCCGCTGGTTCCTCGTTGGGCACACGGTTTTCCCTGCGTCCCGGTGCTCCTTTCCCGGGATGAGAGCCGTGCCCTGGGTGTCACCCACCCTGCCCATGGGATGCGGTGCTGCCGGCAGCAAGCGATGCCTGGCTGGGAGCCACCACCACTCCCGTCCCCGTGGTGAGGGGGACGCTGCCTCGGGGGGCACGGCTGGCATGGGAGGGGGCACCTGCCGGCGTGCTGCAGCCCCCCCAATTCACAGCGCTCCATGAGCCCGCCGGGTCACATCTTGTCCCTTGTCCTCCTCGCCTGGCAGGCGGCTCCTGGAGGCAGGGGGGTGTGTGCCAGGACGGGGCTGTCCTTTTCGGGGGGTTCACGATGGGGCTGCCCCATTTGGGGATACGTGGCCCCTCTCACCGAGCCGTGGCCGGCTGCTGCCTGCCTGAACTGCGTGCTGCAGTGTGCTGAGGCAGTGTTTGCAGCAGCTGCTTGTACAGGGATGCTCCGCCGGGGAGAGGAGCAGAGCAGCGCGTTCGGCACCTGGGAACTTGGAAATACCCTGGAGCCGCGGGGATGGAGCTCCGGAACTGGTGGTGCTGGGGTGGGTGGGTGCCGGGGAGCCCCGGCACGGGGGTGCTGTGCGTGTGGAGCAGCGTGTACGTGATGAATGAGCGCGCCGTGAGTAATGCGGGGGTGGCTGCCGGGGGAGGGGGTGTGCGGCCCAGCACGGCCCCCGCAGGGGCAGGGAGCCCACGGCACTCACCCCAGCTGCTGCAGCCCTTTGCTCCCAGCACTGTCCCGTCCTCATGGGGAGCTGTCACCCCGCATTGCTTGGGGACAGGGCTTTGGAGGAGAGCTGGGGCTCACCGTGTGCTGGTGCCCTCGCTGGGGGTTTTCCTCTAGCCGTGGCCTTCCTCCCACACCACTTCCTCCTTGCCAGCGGTGCTGGCCCTGGGCAGCCTTCTTGCCTGGCTCTCCAAGGGCTTTCCAGGCGTTAATCGGCTCAGAGAGGGAAGGAGGGTGCGTTATCCCCTCTTATGGCATGGGGGAGGAGAGCCAGGACGTGACCGCGCCAGGAGTGGGTGTCAGAGGAAGGATCCGGCCTCCTGGCATTCCCAGCAGTGCCGTCACACCGAGGGGCTTTTCCTCCCTCTCCCACGAGCGTGACGCTGTGGCAGCACACACACAGGGAGCGGGGACGCTGGTGGATCAGGCAGGAGGGTTTGCAGAGCGAGGATTCGGCTCTGCTGAGGCGGCTCCCCGGGCACCGCGGCGGGCGATGCTCCTGGCGCTGACCTTGGCCGGTTGGAGTGGCTCAGGGTGGCAGTGCCAGCCCTGCATCCCCTGCTCCTCGCCGTGCACAGCTCTTGGGTTTTGCCTCGTTGGCCGTGGAGGAGTCTGGACCGGGAGCCGCTGGATTTGGCACGTGTGGCTTTGGCCCCGCTGTCTTCTGGCAAGGGGATGGTTTGGCACCGGCAACAGCCAAGGGCGTTGGCTGGGCTCCCATTTCCATCATTCCCTGGAGGTTCTCTGCTCCTCTGGACCTGTTGGATGGGAGCACACGGGGCAGGGAGGGACGTGAGCGGCTCGGTGGATGACTTGGCTTGCCGGCGGGTCTTTGCGGCGATGCTTTGCCGGCTCAGTTGCCTTTTGACTTGGAAGATGCAGCTTTGCTGGTGATGGGTGCGCCCTGCAAGTTCCTCTCCAGAGCTGTGGCAGGGTGGCACAGCTCCCATTCACCTCTGGTCCTCTGTCCTGGAGGTCATGCCTTCACGTGGACGAGAAGCCCTGCAGATGGGCCAGCAGTGGGTCCAAGCCCATGCTGTGCCGATGGAGGAGCCCTTCCCTCTCCCTTTCCCTGCGGTAGGAATCTCCCAGGCTGGGAGCCCCGAGCGACCAGCTGGCCTTTGGAAAAACAACTCGCTTCCTCCCGCTCCTCCATGGAGAGGCTGGCGTTGGTGGGAGGGCTGCCTGAGCCAGGAACAGCGTGATTCAGGAGCTGCTGGCGAGCAGCTCGGAGCGCTGCCGGCATCCCAGTTTCCTGCTGGAGGGCTGTGAATGCATCGGGATGGTACCCACTGCTCCACGGGGAGGGTGGTGCCAGCCTGCATGGGGGTACTGGTGTGATGTGGGGCTGGACTGGGGGCACAGCACCCTGGCAGCGCTCTCCAGCTGCTGAAGGTCTCCTCTGGGATGGGTTTGGTGCTCCAGCTCCCACCACAGCTGCTTGTTTGTCCCTGTGGTGTGTGGAGGGAGCTCACGGGGAGTGCACAGGTAGCTGCTGGTCGTTGCTGGGAGATGATGCCTCCCATGAGGCAGCTGCCAACACCGGATGCTCGACACTGGGCTGGTGGTGATTGGAGGGAGGGGGCACAAGGGACCCCCAGGCAGGAGTAAGGTGACCTCAGGGAAGTAATTTTCTTTCCTGCTCAATCTCTGTGCCTCTCAGAGCACCAACCTGTGCTCCCATGTGCTTGCTGAGCCAGACACATTCCCACCTGTGCCATTCCAGGGAGCAAGGACCCACTGTAGGGCTGCTGTGGGGCAGCATCCCATGCATGCATTCCCCTTGGGATGCCAGGGCAGCTGCCTGCCTGCCTGAGGAGGAGGGTGATGGTCCCACAGGACACCCCTTGTGCCCAGGAATGGGGTTCTGAGTCCCCATCTCGCTGGGAATGGGCCACCAAGCCACCCCTCAGAGCCGCTAATCCTTCTCCTCCCTGGCCCCGTGTGACCTTGAGGCATGTCACTTGACCTGCGCATCGCCCTCCATCCATCTGGAAAATCGGGTTTAAAACGCAGGAATCGCACTGAAAGCCCAGATGCTGCTTTCCAGCTGGGGGAGGGGGTGAGGGCTGCGCTCCCAGCCCCAGGGCTTCCCCCACCAGGGGACAGGCGGGTGCTTTTGGGGGGCTCTGGATACCCCAAAATAGGGACTGAGTTTGTAATGGGGGTGCAACCCTTACTGAGATATTTAAGGGGTACAGAGGTGGAGACAGGCAATCTCCCAGCACTCCACACCCTGCTAGGGTCCCTGCAGCACGTTGTCCCCGTCCCCCACCCTGGGCTGCAGTCTCCCTCTGTCTTCATCTCATGGCGATGGCTGCCTGCTCTCCTTCCCTGCTGGCCTCCATATGCCACGCTGGTGGCCTTGTCCTCAGAGATCCCTGCCATATCCCGCCTCCACCGATGGGAGTGGGATGTGTCAGAGCACATCTCGTCTCAGCTCACCAGGGAGGAGAGGTCCACAGGCTCCGGGCCTTGTGCCTGCTCCCTCAGCCATCCCCATGGGGGCACAGGGGTGGGGATGAGTGCCAGGGGTGTGGGGCAGCACTGGAGATGGATAGTGGTGCCTCTGTTAGCAGGCTGCAAGGTGAGGTGGGTCAGGACAGGATGCCCTCTCTGCCCCAGAGCATGGGTGCCCACTGTGCCAGGAGGGGAAGCTTTCCCAGGTGTTAATTCCTTTGGAAACCTCTCTGAAGACACCTGCAGGAAGGGTCCTGCTTTGGTGAGTGCAGCAGAGATGCTGGATGCCTTCAGCTTCACCGAGTCCTGTGGCACCTTCCACCTGTGCCCCGGGGATCAGAGGAGCTGCACGCCCAGATCCAGGTGAGGGTCTCCCCCGGTTGGCATCGCCGTCCTGGGGAGCCCCGCGGTGGCACCGTCTCGGTGGCGGCAGCCTCCCCTCCTCTCCCTTTGGGATGCTGTTCAACTCCACCTCCGCATCTTGTATTCTTGCCTCCTGGCACGCGGCGTGCTTTTATTTTTCCTGGATCTGCTTGCATGACGAAGCCTGTTGATTACTTGTTTTTCTTTACGAGGCATCCCCCAGCTTCACGTGAGCTCCTGCACCGAGGCGGATTTGGGGTTCGCCTCGGTGCTGCCGTTCCCTGATGTTGACCCTGTTTCCGAACCGCAGATTCAGCCTTGGAACCTCTCTGAACTTGGCTGGGAAAATCAAGTGGGTTTAAAAATACCCCGTCTATTTGTGCTCTGTTTCTTCTGGCGTCTGCGGGTTGTTTTCAAGCGTTTCCCTACAAATGTGGGGGTGAGAAAACACTTTTGAATCTAGAGCTGCAGTCTCCATTGCTCGCTTTCTTCATGGTCTGGGCATGGAAGGAAAACCTGGTCAGGGTTGGGACCCTGCAGGGTTGGTGGGTTGGGAAGTTGAGGAGACCCCAAGAGGGTTAGTGACACATCTCCCCATTGCCTTGCTGGCGCTCTGGAAGTGGGGACAGGAGGGCACGGGGCCGGTAGCGGGGCGGGTGGCAGCTGGGCAGAGCCGGGGGCCGCTTCCCCGCCGTGGCTGCCAGTCGGCCGTGCGCTGGGGAGGTGATGCTCAGCCGTGCGTGCAATTCCCCACCGGCCCCGCGATCAGACACCGGCGCTGTGAGCTGCCGGGGATGACCTATTTTCCTGCGCCCGGGCAGCCCTGGCCAGCCGTGGGTCCGGTGGAGCGGCTGGCTCGTCCCCTCGCCGGGGATGTCACCCACTGCTCTGCCAGGGGATCCTGGCGCGGTGTGACTCCCTGGCGCCCATCCCCAGCGTGTCTGGGTGGCCTCTTGCTCCAGCTGGGCAAACATTAGCATTCCAGGCTCCAGTTGGTGGAGAGGTGTTGGAAACCAAGAATTCCAGCTTGGTAGCCCAGGAGCTGGAGCGCTGGGGCAGGTGGGGGGCTTGGGAAAGGGGTTTGGGTGCTACAGCTTCCATCTTCTCCTGCTGGTGCGGGGGGATGTCACTTTGAAGGCGACGAGGTGCTGGGGACCTGCTCTCTCGGGAAGCGCGTCCTTGGATGCTCTTGAGCAGCATGTGACAGCTCCGTCCCCGATCGGCGCAGCAGGACCATGGACAGGGAGGGGGCTCATCCAGCCCTGCAGCGCAGCCCCCCTCACCCTCCCGGGTGGAGGGGTCAGGACGGGTTCTCACAGCTCAGCGCCGGGGTGGCAGGGGAGGGCTGGTGCCGTCCCTGCTGACAGGCTGCGAACGGGAGCTCATCGGCGATGCAGCGCTAACGAGGGATGGAAAGGTGCAAGAGTGTTGTCGAGGCGGCGCACAGCGTGTGCGGGGGTGTGCGTGCACACCGCACGTGTGTGCTCAGCCACCCCCCCGCCCCGACGGGGTCCGGGATGGTTCCTGGCCCTGCAGGACCCCCGAGCGGGGCCGGTGCCTGCAGTGGGTGTGCAATGCAGCATCTGCTCCTTGCAGATGGCTCTGCACAGCTCTGCACCCCGGCCTCACCCAGCCAGCCCTCCCAGTTAAAGAGCCACCCGTGCCCGGTTTGCTGGTGGCGTGGGGGCTCGGTGGCCATCGGCTGTGACCCTGTGCAGGGACACACCTTGTGCGTGCAATGTGCGAGCTGCGGCCGGCTCTGCCCGCTGCCCTTCCCGCGGGGACACTCGGCTGGTGGGCCCGTGGGGTGGCACATCACGGGCCTCTCGCCGGTACGCGCTTGTGCCAGAGCCAAAAATAGCCGGTGATGCTCGGTGATGCTCGGCTCCCGCGGCGGGGAAGCGGTGATGTCACTCGCCGCCAATCACCGGCGGCCCCGAGGAGCAGCGCGGAGGAGTGGGAACGTGCTTCCCCGAGCATCCCTCCCCGAGCATCCCCCCCGGAACAGCCAGCGGCCGCGTGTGCCGGGAAAACGGGGTCCTTTCCATGATGGGGAGGGCGATGTGGGTCTAAACCTAGTTTTGGGGACCCCCTGTTTGGCTTCCTCCCAGCTCTGGGTTTCCCTCTCTCTCCCTCTCTGAACGCCGTGCTGAGGATGCAGCTTTGCTGCTGCTGGCAGAGCGGGATGACGCCAGGCTGCAGCGAGCAGGGCGGCACAGCCGGGGTGGAGCAGCCTCGGAGCTGAGACCGAAGTCCCCTGTAATTAGCCAGCAGGGAGGAGCAGGGTGACAGACCCGACGTGCAGGTCGCAGACGGGTTTCAGGCTTGGGGCTCTCGGGGATGCCCCAGGACATGTGGGCTTGGCTGGGGCATGGCAGCTCCGGGGGCCCAGCCCATCCTGGCACCGGTGGGAGAGCTGGGTCCCAGGGCTGGCATACAGATCTGTGCCCAGGGGTCCCTCCATGCCCAGTCCTGCCTGCTGGAGGATGCAGGGGCACAAGCTAAAAGCAGCCTTTTCCCTGCCACAAGGATACAGGGCAGCCCAGATGGTGCTGCTGTGTGGGGAGCAGTGCTAGGCATACTCTGTGCCCCTCTAATGAGAGCAGGGATCCCCAAAACCCCTGGGGGGGGTCACTGGGCATCACCCTTGCCCTGGTGCAGAGGTTGGGAAGCTGTCCTGGAGCATTAGGGTGCTGATGGCCACTGTCCTGACTCCTGTGGTTGGTCAGGGGTGGCCTTGGATCTGAGTGTAAGGGATTGGGACCCCCTGTTGGTTTTGGGGCAAGGGTGACCCATGGGCTGCCCTTGCTGCAGACATGTGGTTACTGCTGTTGCTCTCTTGGGCATCCTGGTTCGATGCTGGGCACCAGCAGTGGCATCAGCCACAGATTCTTCCTCTGCCCCCTCGCAGGTGCCCTCGGCTCGAGGGAGGAGCCCGAGTTCGTGACCGCTCGCGCTGGCGAGAGCGTGATCCTGGGATGCGACGTGATCCACCCGCTGACGGGCCAGCCCCCTCCCTATGTCGTGGAGTGGTTCAAGTTCGGCGTCCCCATCCCCATCTTCATCAAGTTTGGGTTTTACCCTCCCCATGTGGACCCAGAGTATGCCGGTGAGTCCCGGGGTGCAGGGGAATGAGGGGAGGGTGCCAGGTCCTGGCTGCAGCACGGCCTGGGACATGCAGCTCCACTCCATCCGTTCCTCCGTCGGAAACCACGCGGGCTCTGCCTCTCGTTGCTCGCTTTCCACCTAGTTGGTTTTAATTAAGCAGCAGCGTTAGGAAGCCAGCTGGGCTGCGTGGGATGGGAGCAAGCGAGGCAGAGAAGCCCAGGGTGACGCGTGGTGGCGGTGGCTGCTGCTGCTGCTGCTGCTGCGCCCCAGAGCAGCTGTGAGCCCAGGGAGGGGTGCTGGGGGGACACTGGGGATGGAGCCAGGGCCACGTGCTGGGCGGAGGTGACAGGTTGGAGCTGCAGAACTCATGTGGCTGCTTGCCAATGTGCTGCCGGTGACACGTGGCCAGTGACCTCTGGTGGGATCTGAGAGCTGGAAACCAGCCCTGAGAAGGATGGTGTGGCAGGACAGACACGTTGTGGTACCTCTTTCCCTGTCCTGGGAATCTTCCCTGGGTCTTATGGGACTCTGTGCCCAAATTGCTCTCTAAGAAATGCACCAGCTGAGCCCTGCCAAACTCAGCTCAGCAATGAGCGATCCCACAGCCCCGTGGCCACTGCACCAGGGTGGAGCTTTAGGCTGCTCTGCTCCTGACCCAGTTTTTGGGGCTGTGCACAGGGTCAGCTCAGGGCTGCCCTGCTTTCTGGGAGTCTCCCAGGCGGGGCAAAGCTCTGGGGCACGCCCGTGTGCCGGCTGTGCCGCCGCCAGCCCCCGGCTGGGAGCAGAAGGCCGGTGTCGCTGCGGGCAGACATTGCTGCAGGCATCTTGCCTGGCCCTGGCAGCTCGGCTCTGCTGTCCCCAGATGGGCGAGTGTGTCACCGCCCTGGCACCACGGGCCTGGCAACGCCGGCTGCAACCATGCCATGGGGCTCAGCCAGCCCCAAACCGGGACAGTGCCCACACAGGGATGGGGTGTCTCCTGTGGTGATGCTCTGGGGTCAGGATGGGGTGTCCCCTGCAGTGATGCTCTGGGGGCTGCACCAGTTTGGGATGGGGTGGCCCCTGCAGTGAACTCTGAGGGACTGCTCTGGTGTCAGGATGGATTATCCCCTGCAATGATGCTTTGGGGGCTGCCCTGGTGTGGGGATGGGGTGTCCCCTGTGGCTGTGCTCTGGGGGCTGCACCAGTTTGGGATGGGGTTGCCCTTGCGGTGATGCTCCAGGGACTGCTCCAGTTTGGGATGGGGTGTCCCCTGCAGTGATGCCCTGCGAGCTCCCGCAATTTGGGATGGGATTTCCCTTGCCATGATGCCCTGCAAGCTGCACCAGTTTGGGATGGGATTTCCCTTGCCATGATGCCCTGCAAGCTGCACCAGTTTGGGATGGGATTTCCCTTAGAGTGATGCTCTGGTGGCTGCACCAGTTTGGGTTGGGTTGTCCCCTGCAGTGATGCTCTGGGGGCTGCTCTGGTGCTGGGGACGTGGTGCCAACGCTGTGCTCTCCCACAGGCCGGGCCAGCCTGCACGACAAAGCCTCCCTGCGCATTGAGCAGGTGCGCTCCGAGGACCAGGGCTGGTACGAGTGCAAAGTGCTCATGCTGGACCAGCAGTACGACACCTTCCACAACGGCAGCTGGGTCCACCTCACGGTCAATGGTGAGCGGGGCAGGGGCTGTGGCATCCCTGAGGTGCCAAAATGGGATTTCTGGGGAATGCTGAATGTCTGGAGGATGCTGGGCCTCAATGGCATCTGTGCCTGGCAGACACGCCAGCCTGAGGCCATCCAGGCTGGCTGATCCGGCCAGGGTGTGACTTCAAAAGGGACAAAGCTTTATTAGGGATTCCTCAGTTTAATTACTCGGAGCTTGTTTAAAAGAGAGACATCAAGAACCGGGGCTGGGAATGAATCTCCTCTCAACAAACAGATCAGAAAATCAAATCTTTGTTTTCTTGAAATTCAGATTTACTCAAATTACTTTTTCATTTTATTAAGGCTGTATATTAAACTAATTAACAAATTGTCATTCTCTGCATCAGGAGACAGATCTTTATTTTTAGCCCAGCAGCAGGGCTGTGCCTCTCCTGCTGCAGTGGGGTGGCTGGAGAGATGTGGCCACTGGCAGCTCCTCGCTGGTCTTGCCTTGACCTTGTGCAATTAATTTAACCTTTGGGGGGATGGCTGTGCTGTGGCACAGAGCAGAGCCACCTAATTGAGCCCAATTAGTGAGCAGGAGCTTTGCAAGCGGGGCTGTGCAGGCCACCAGCCCCATCCCTGCCTGCTGCCCTGCCTGCTGCTTCCTGCTTTCCCCCAACCTGCTAATGAGCTCCGAGGGCTTGGGAAGGAGGACAGGAGGAGGAGGAAGGAGGAGGATGGAGGTGCCTGGCTCACCTCTGCCACGTGCACGGATCCTGCAAGCCGCCAGGCGGAGGGGCTGGAAAATGGCCCCAGATGCCCTGTCCCTCCCCTTGGCAAAATGGGCCAGTTTTGGGGCTTTATGCAGCACGGGGCGTGCAGGGGCTTAATAACAATATAATAACCATAATCCTCCCAGCCCGAGGAATTGCTTTCAGGGTGAGGGCTGTGGCTTTCCCCCAGCGCATTACAACGCTTAATTTTCTTAGGGGGAAAATAAAAATCATTTGGGGAGAAACAAAATATAATTCCTTTTTCTTTTTTTTTTTTTTCTTTTTTTCTCCCAAGCAGATTAAATTGCCAACCTGTCTTCCTCTAAAGTGGGCTTTAACAACCGCGGGTAATTAGGGGCGGGCTGTAATCCTGCCAGCCTCTTTCATCAGGAAGGAGCCTTTCGATCTGCACTGCGGTGTTTTCCCATGTTTTGACAATAGCGAGTTAATGTGCAGCGGGGTGCGGGGAGGAGAGGGGACAGCGCTGGGGTGCGATGTGGCACCTCTTGGTCGGTGTCCCCAGAGCCACCCGTGTCCGTGCAGCCTTTGGCGTGGTCATAGCCCTGCCATGGGGATGTGCAGAGCATCCCCCGTGTGCAGGCAGCAGCTGCCGCTGTGTCCCCGTGTGCCCCCAGCCCCAGAGTGGCTGGGGTGACCTGGGGGTCTCGTGTGCCCCCAGCTCCCCCCACGTTCACGGAGACCCCGCCGCAGTACGTAGAGGCGAAGGAGGGCAGCAGCGTCACCCTGACCTGCATGGCGTTCGGGAACCCCAAGCCCATCGTCACCTGGCTCCGGGAGGGAGACCTTTTGGGTGCCAATGGCAAGTACCAGGTAGGTGGGGGAGGGCTGCCGTGGGGATCCTGGGCTGGGAGCTGGCAGGGACAGTATTGACAGCACCACGGTGGCGGCGGCTCCGCCGTGCCTGGAGCCAGCCGTGCTTCCTCAGCACTTCTCCTTGGTGAGATGCCCATTTTCCCCCACCCCATCCCTGCTGAGCAGCAGCCTGTAACGCTGCCAGCCCTTGGGTGCGGGCTGGAGACCCTCCAAGTGCTGGGGACAGCTCTGCTCCTGCACCTGACCTGCTCCCTGCAGACTCAGCCCAGGGGCCAAGACCCTGCAGATGGGGTGGGGGCTGCAGCCTGGGGTAGTGTCCCCCCAGCAGGGCTGGGGCAGGGCAGGATTGAGCAGAGAGGATTTCCCCTCCTCCCCTCCCCTTCAGGACCCTTTTTGCATCCCAGAGGCTCCCAGGCAGAGATTCCCCCCTGAGCTGTAATTGGTAAATCAGGCATTGGAATCAGCGCAGGCACTAATGAGAGTAATTAGGAATCATTTGTTACTAATTGAAATAGAAGGATGAGGCAGAATGAGGTGGGGGGGAAGCCTGGCTGGGAGGCCTCCCTGTGCGTGGGGGTGCTGCTACCCCAAAGGTGACAGCCCCTTGTCCATCCTTCTGCTGTGTCCCCAGGGGAATGCATCCACTCCTCTTCCAGCTGAGAGGTGACCCCACAGGGAGGTCAGTGGCCAGGCTGGGGTCTCCCCTCATCCCCCAGCAATGGAGCAGGCCCTTGGAGGGGCAGGGAATGCTCCAGCAAGGCTCCTTGTGCAGTTCCAATGGTGCTGGGGCGCTTGGCAGGAGCGGCTTGGAGCCTGCTGCCTGCCAGTCACTTCAGGGAGATGAATGTGCTGGGATGGTTATTTATTTATTTCGTGATTTTTTTTTTTTTCTCCCTTCCCCTCGGCGTCGAGCAGCAAGGCGTGTGTTGGTTTATTAATATCCCACGTCTTGCAGAGCGGGGAAACCCGTCTCTCATCCGGCCCTGAGAGCGCCGGCAGCGCTCCGCCGTGGGAGGCAGGGAGGGTCTTCCCCCGTCCCCCCGGGGGTCCCTGCCCACGCTCCAGGGTGTTCCCTTGTTGCCAGGTGAGCGACGGGAGCCTCACGGTGCTCTCGGTCAGCCGGGAGGACAGAGGTGCCTACACCTGCCGGGCCTACAGCATCCAGGGCGAGGCTGTGCACACCACGCGCCTGCTCGTCCAAGGTGAGACCTTGCAGCTCCTCAGCATCCCCTGGGAAGCCAGGATGGGGTGATTCCACCAGCCACAGGTCCATGGTGTCACCCTGGGGTGACCCTCCAGGCCTCTGTGCCTGGCTGCCCCTGGTTCTGCATCCGGTTTGTAGGATGGAGGAATCTGCTTAATTGGGACCCTGATGAGCAGCCAGGCCCTGATGGCAGCTCGGTTTTGTTTGGGAAGCGGGGAAAAGATTGAGGCTGTCATGAAGCGCCTCGTCAGACAGCGGTGATGCATGACAGGCCTCCTGCTCCTTGCTCCCTCTCCTATTAAATAAATCTTTAATTAGGTCAACAGCTACCGGCAGAGAGAGGAGCACGGGGTGTCCTCTGCTCTGCTTTTGTGGCAGTGGTGGCTGCTGGCTCCTGGCAGTCTGTTCCCCCTGGATTTTTCCTGTGGGTGATACTATCCTCCAGAAGTGCTGAGGGTGAAGGGAGGTGTGTCCTTGTGTGCCCTGGGAGAAGCGTCATGGGTGTGGATCCTCTCCTCAAAGCTGTAGAAATTAGGAAAGGACTGGGTATAACAGTGTCACTGGTTCTCAGTCAGCCCAGAGATTAGGGAAAGGGTTGGGAATAACAGGGTCACTGTGGTTCTCTGTCAGTCCAAAGATTAGGGAAAGGGTTGGGAATGACAGGGTCACTGTGGTTCTCAGAGGATCGGGGCCAGCCCTGCCCCAGAGCCCTCCAGCAGCTCCCAGCTAAAATGCTGTGATGGAGCTGAACCTGAGCAACCTGTAGTGGTGGGAGTGACACCTTCCTCTTCCCCCCTCCAGGACCTCCCTTTATCGTTTCCCCTCCGGAGAACATCACAGTCAACATCTCCCAGGATGCTCTGTTCACCTGCCAGGCCGAGGCGTACCCCGGGAACCTCACCTACCTGTGGTACTGGGAGGAGGAGAACGTCTACTTCAAGAAGTGAGTTTATAGCTGCTGGGGCAGCGTGTTCTCCTCCTCCTGCTGCTCCTGGGCTGTGCTGGGAGCTGGGATTGTTTGTGCTGGGCTTTGCCCCTGGCTCTCCTCGTGATCCTCCTCTCCTCTTCTCCTGCAGTGACTTGAAGCTGAGGGTGCGGATCCTGATCGACGGGACGCTGATTATTTTCCGTGTCAAACCAGAGGATGCTGGAAAATACACCTGTATCCCCAGCAACAGCCTGGGCCGCTCGCCATCAGCCTCTGCCTACCTGACAGTGCAGTGTGAGTGCGGGGATGGGGCTGGCATTGATAACACCTGGCTCCCAGGCAGCCCCAGAGGCTCTCTTGTCCTGGTGTGACACTGGGAGAGTCAGGCTGATGTGACAGCAGCCTTTGGATGAACACGGAATCATCGTTAGTAAAAAAGCTTAAGAGCATCCCACGTGGGCGTGGGAGACGAGAAAGCAAATGGTCTGAGCAGCCTCAGTGACACTGCTCAGCTGGGACCAGCATCCACCTTGGCTACAAGTGTTTTCTAATTAGGTGAGCGTGACAGTGTTCACAGGGTCTTAGGATGAGGGAAGAGACAAGGATCTGACTCTGTTTCAGAAGGCTTGACTTATTATTTTATGATATATATTACATTAAAACTGTACTAAAAGAATAGAAGAAAGGATTTTATCAGAAGGCTAGCTAAGAATAGAATAGCAAAGAATGATAACAAAGGTTTGTGGCTCGGACTCTGTCTGAGCCAGCTGGGTTGTGATTGACCATTAATTAGAAACAATCAACATGGGCTAATCAAAGATCCACTTGTTGCATTCTACAGCAGCAGATAACCAATGTTTACATTTTGTTCTCAGCTTCTTAGAAGGAAAAATCCTAAAGAAAGGATTTTTCATAAAAGATTTCTGTAACAGGTGAGCATCATCCCATGGCTGCTGCCTCACCGTCCTCATCCTGCTGGGGTGAGGTGAAGGCTCTCAGTGCCTAGGTGTATTTTTTGGTGTTTATTTCGGGGGTTATTCCTGTGGCGTGGCTGTTCTTGTGTCACATTCCTCGGGCGGTAAGCGATCTAAACAAGCTCGGGAGAAAGGGCTGCAGCAGCAGCGGCGCCTCCCACGCTCGCTGTTCTGCCGGAATCCCCGGGCGGTAATGGGTAGTGTGCCACCGGCATCCTGTGGCATTCCACTGTAATGGCCTCAATTGCCGCCGCTCCAATTGCAATATTGCTCTGCTCCCAAAGACTTCGGCGTTTTTATTTCATAATGAAAGACAGGCCTGAGCAAAGTGGGCTCTCGGCGTGGGTTTTCCAAGGCTGCCTTAGAGCTGCTGCTGCCTTTAGACCTGGTGCTGGTTAGTGGGGAGCCCAAGAGCAGGGCTGGCAGGTCCCTGTGGGGATGGATGAAGGGGCAGGGGGATGGTGTGAGTAGTGCTGTGCCCAGGCACAGGCGTGATTTGGGGCTTGGATGTTCCCAGCTGGGTGGCTCTGGGGAAAGCCTGTGGCCTCAGGCCATTAAATCTGCCCTGCCTCTAATCCAGGGCCGCTTGTCAGGGCTGATAGCTGTTAAAAATAGCTCTAATGGCAGGGAGAGCGGGCTCGGACAATCTGCTGCTCAGCCAGGCTTCAGCACAAGGAAGGGTGCTCGGTTTTTGGTGCCACAAACCCTTTTCCTCCTGAGCAAACCTCATCCACACCGGGGTGATAGCTCTGGAGGGAGTTTCCCATCCTCCAAAAGCAAATGGGGACACAGCTCCGGGTCATTAGTGGGCTGGGCTGGCCCCTGGCCAGTGACCTAGTAGTGAAAGGCTCGATCCCATTACCCTCTCCCGCACTGCTGGAGTCCTTGATTACATTTCCTAAGAGGTGGAGTTAAGCAGAGGGGGGTAAAGCCTGCTCCATATGTGGCACTGGGCAATCTGGGTTATGGTGCCACTGCCGGGGGCGAGCGGTTTTGGGGAGTGGTTGGGGTGACGTGCTGGGAGCAGAGCTGCCAAACTCTGCTGGTTTTGCCCCAAGAAAGCAATAATCTTCCATCTTCCACATCTTCCATGCCTTCCTGTTAAGCACCTTAATGTTTACCCCTCCCAATTTGCATCAGCAGTGCAGGGATGCTGCACCCCAAAACTCCCACATTTATCCCTTAATGCAACATAAGCCCCATCAGGATTTTCCCATAACCTCGTGCTACCGGTGTCTAGACGAGATTGTAGAAATACTCACTCTTCTTATTAAAAATAACATTTTTTTAAAAAGCTTCTTATTAAAGAAAGTCTAGATTCTCTTCAACCCACTCGCACTTAATTAAAAAGCTCTTAGAAGTGCTGTTAATGACACATTCTAGACTGGAGGATTGCGAGACACCTCTCTGCGTGGGTGGTGCAGTGTGGAGGGGGGGTTAGATATGTATTTTAAGGTTTTTGCATCTTGGAAAGGGTGAGGTGGCTGCTGTTCAACATGACCCAGTCTCAATGAGGCACGAGTATAAGCAGATATGGGAGGTAAAGGACTCATGGCAGCCTGGACGCAGATCCCTTTTCCTATCTGTGTGTGTTTTAAGGCTCTTGGCAGTTGAAATAGCTTTGATTGCTTATATGTAAAACCAGGCTGTGCTGGGTGTTCATCACACCTGGCACATGTGCTGTAATGGAGCAGCGCAGGCTTCAGCAAGATGTAAGTTGGTGTGGAATTTGGAGCAGGCGTATCTTCATTTCTTCTTAAATGCAATCTTTAATGAGCCCCAGGTAGGAACACCCTGGACATGAGCAAAGCCTCCCAGAAATGCCAGGTATTCCAGAGGATTTGTGTGTAGCAAGCCTGGCTTAACAACCTGCTGGATCCAGGGTGGTGCTGGGTTTGGAATTCATTACAAAAGTGAGGCAGATCCTGCGAAGCCGGGCTGGGAGGAGAGAAGGGCTCTCTCCCCGTGCTAACATGGTGCTGCTGCCCTCCAGATCCTGCCCGTGTGGTGAACATGCCCCCCATCATCTACGTTCCCATCGGGATCCACGGGTACATCCGCTGCCCCGTGGAGGCAGAGCCGCCGGTCACGCTGGTCAAGTGGAACAAGGACGGGCGTCCCCTGCGAATCGAGAAGGTAACAGAGCCTCCAGGGAGGAGGGGACAGGGGGACACAGAGGGTTTGGACCCTCATGTCCTCAGCAAACATCAGTGAGCACCACCAGCCACCCCTTTGTGTTGGGAGAGAAGAATCTCATGGATGGGATGACGCTGCTTTTCCTTATCAGAGTTAATTCCAGTTCTCATGTGGAGCCCACAGTGCCTGTGGATATTCTATGTCTCCCACACTTGATGCCTTCTTCCCCCTAAAGTCACCTCCTGATGGCCCTGCTTTATTTTTCCAGTGGCAACTGGTGGTTAAAAGACCCTTTTAACAAATCTACATCTTCCCCTAATCATGGTTTGATAGTCTGAGCAAGGATATTAGCCATTAAATATTTAAAGAAAACGCTCAATATTTTAAATTTTTTTTGCTTAAATATTAACGATTTGAAGTTTTAATTCCATTTAAAGCTGTTGCTGCTGTGGCCTCCTGGTCCTTGGTGCCCTCAGCTCTCCAGGTGGAGATGTCTTGCTGACTCCAGAACAAGTCTTATTTAGTGTTCGATTCTGATCTTAAATCTTTTTGAGCTACATGAAGGAGCCTGGCTGTGCTTGGACAGGCTGATGTTGCCCAAGTTTCTGTTGAGGAGATGCTTTGGATGTTGGGAGTGGATTGGCATCTCCTAGAGATGTGACAGCACCCTGGGCATGGGTGGGGGGCCTGGCTGAGGGGGAAATGAGGAGCTGTGGTGGGTGTTGGCTAAGTGATCTCCCTGCTTCTCCCTGCTGCAGTATTCTGGCTGGAACCTGCTGGAAGACGGGTCGATCCGGATCGAGGAGGCCACTGAAGATGCTCTCGGCACTTACACCTGTGTGCCTTATAACGCCCTGGGTACGATGGGCCAGTCTCCCCCTGCCCGACTGGTACTGAAGGTAATGCTCTGCCAGAATCCCGTGGGTTTGCTGGGAGCAGTGTCCTCCTGTGCCAGGAGCAGCTCCCGGGGCTGTGTGGGGAAGAGCAGAGGCTCCAGGGTGAGGGTGGTGTGTCTGTGCTGTGGTTGGAGATGTGCTTCCCACCAGCCCAGGCAAACCCCCAGGGCACCCTGTCTGGTGTAGCTGGAAATAACCTGCTGGAGCAGCAGCGAGCGTTTTGACACTGGACTGGGGTAGTTTGAGGAAACATCTCCCTGGAATGTCCCCTTTGCCAACAAAACACTTAGCCCTGCTGGCCCGGGCTTGGGTTCAGGAGGATTTTAATAAATGAATGATTTGAGCTCCACGTGCTCCGGCTGCGTGCGGCGCCTGGGGCGTGCTGAGCTCCCAGCGCAGCTCCTGGTGCAGCTGGGGTGGGAGCTGCAGCCTCTTCCCTCCCTGAACACGGAGTCCTGTGCCTGGGAGGGAGCCGTGGTGATTCATGGTGTCTCGGCGAGGTTCAGATGAGAACGCTTTGTGTACCAGACACGCGCATCCGCCGGGGCGGCTGCCGGGGCGAGGAAATCAGGTTGATGGCTGATGTGATGTGGGTGGGTTTCTTCCTGTTTCCAGGAGGTAAAAAGCAAGATGCTGCTCAGCCTGGGGAAGAGAAGTTGCGTGGAGGTGTCAAAGCAGGCTTCCTGTCTCTGAGGGCACCTGCAAGGAAGCTGGAGAGGGATTCTTTGTCAGGAACTGTAGAGATGGGACATGGGGTAATGGGGTCAAACTGAAAGAGGCAAAATTTAGGTTAGATATTAGGAGTGTGAGGGTGGTGAGGCCCTGGCACAGGTTGTCCAAAGAAGCTTTGGATGGAAGTGTCCAGGGCCAGGTTGGAGCAATCTGTGATAGTGGGATGTGTCCCTGGCTATGGCAGAGAGGGGAATGGGATAAGCTTTAAGGTACTTTCCAACACAAGCCATTCTGGGATTCCATGATTCTATGCTCCAGTGTGGTGGCTCTTTGGACAGAATCTTCCTCCAGGTGTAATTTGAGCCATTGAAGCTCCTTAGCACACATTCTCCACACAATTTTCCTTGCAATGCCTCAAGCTTACCCAGAATGGGGATTGGGTTGGTCTGGCAAAGGCTTGGTTTTGGTGATGGGAATTTGGGCAGGCTGACACTCCTTGTTTTCCCTTGTTTGGCTGCAGGACCCCCCCTATTTCACGGTGCTACCAGGCTGGGAGTACAGACAGGAGGCAGGGAGGGAGCTGTTGATTCCTTGCGCTGCTGCCGGAGACCCCTTTCCCATCATCGCCTGGAGAAAGGTACCCGGCCTGCCAGACAAATCTGCAGTGCCTTTGGCTTTTGGTGAATATTGCAGACAGAGAAGCCACACTCTGTCCCGGTAAGAACAAACTGCAGGTACAGCTGCTTCGCTTTGGGCTGAGCCACTGCCGTCCTGTCCCGCAGGTGGGTGGGGGAAGCCCGGCTTGTGGCCGCCCAGTAATCCCGGGAAACCGACACGGCAGCATCCGCAAAGCTGAAACACTGCCCCCGCCCCGGCCCCTCCTCTGCCTCGCCAGCACGGCCCACAGGACGCCCTCCTCCTTGCCTGGCTCCCAGGTGTCACCAGCGGGACGTGGCAGTGGTGGCAGTGCTGCTCTCGCAGCACACACCTCCTGTGGAGGGAGGGGATGTGTCACCGCAGCACATCCTGGGCTCTGGACCAGTCAGCAGCTGCTTTACTGCCCCGTGACTTCAAAGAGCCTGGGAAGAAGCTGTTTTTTTGATCCCGAACTGGATATAAAGTCTTCAAGACGTTCCTTGTCATAGAGCAGGGTGTGGTGTCACAGCCTGGGAGCAGCGAGGGCTTTCCAGTCCTCCTGCAGCCTTCCCCTTGCTTCCCACCTTTACTGCTCCCATAGGAAAGCCACTGTGCAAGAGAGCTCCTGGGCTCTTTGTTGTGCTGTCAGGAGCTTCCCTCCAAGCCTTCCATGCCCTTCTCAGGGCTCTTGAGAGTGATCTGCGTCCCTCTGTCACCCAGTGGGGCCATCCCCAATCTTTGTGTCTTGAGCTGCTGCACCTCTGGGTTCTTTTTAGCAGCACGAGGAGGACCAAGACTTGTACACATTGCAAGTGACCTGCCTAAAGCTTGTTGGCTGTTTAGCCTTTTTCTCCATCCTATTTTTCTTTAGATGCCCTCACCAGTCTCAGCCAGGTTTCTTTCCAATCCCACTTGTGCCTTCTGGTGATCCTCCTCGTTTTTTGGCTCTGGACTTATTTCCTCCAACTTCAGTTAGGGCTGGCTTGGGCTGGGCTCAGTTTGCCAGTGGCAGAAGCCAAATTCCTCCCTCCCCATCAGCCCACCAGTGCTGACCAGCCTCTTGAAGAACTCCTTGCCTTGCACTGGTAACTCAACGTGTCCATGGGCTCCTCTGCTCCTCCTTCTTTACATCAACCTGTGGGTCCTGCTGTTGATCAGCAGAGTTCCCCACATGAAGAACAGCTGAAGAAGACTCAGGACAACGTGGAATTTGCACAGCTTTGGCTGACGGGCATAAATGAGTTGTTACAAGATCCATCTTTCCGCTCGGCTTGAGAGATTCCAGGCACCTCCACGCACGCCATCCTCCCACATCCCCACGGGACGCTTATTGCCCAGACTCTGATGCAAAGGCTCCTGCCTCTCATCTGCTGCTAACTGAGGCTGAGGGGCAGTTTGGGCATCTCCTGGGGCATCCTGTGCCTTCCCCATCCCGGGAGGGGGTTTGCTGGGACAGCCAGTGCCCATTCTTGCAGCAGTTTCAGCTTTGGATGCCGGAGGCTGAGCCCTGCCGCGGGGCTGGCCGTCCGTGCGAGTGCCGTGGGGTTTCCCGCTGGCGTGTGAGCGCTGCCAGCAGCCTCCTGACGCATGCCTCTCGCGTTGCCCCCCAGGTCCTCTCGGAAACGGGGGAACCGTCTGCCTTGCCACGATCGGAGAGCCCGGATCCCCTGCCGGTGGCCGGCGGTGTCCCCTGGGCCGCGCAGGTAGCTTAGTGACCCCGCCGCCGCCTCGCCCTGCCCCACCGCCCGCTGCTGAGTCCTGTTCTTTTCTCTCTCTGCCTGGCCCCCCACCCCGCTCCTTGCCCAAGGTAGGGAAGCCCAGCAGGAGCAAGCACAACACGCTGCCCGGCGGGACCCTGCAGATCCGCTCCCTCGGCAAGGACGACCACGGCGAGTGGGAGTGCGTCGCCACCAACATTGTCGCGAGCATTACTGCCAGCACCCACCTGACCGTCGTAGGTACGGGCAGGGGGGGAAAGGGGCCTGGGGAGAGCGCCCCGGGCAAGGCAGGAGGTGGGTGTGCTCCTCACAGGTGACAGGACAAGGGGCAGTGGCTTTAAACTGGGAGATAGGAGGTTTAGTTGGGATATTGGGAAGAAATTCCTCCCTTTGAGGGTGGTGAGGCCCTGGCACAGAAGCTGTGGCTACCCCATCTCTGAAAGTGTTCAAGGTCCCATTGGACAGGGTTTGGAGCAACCTGGTCTACTGGAAGGTGTCCCTGCCCATGTCAGGAGGTTTGAGTAGCTGTCCCTTCAAGTTCCTTCCAACCCAAACCACTCCATGATTCTAAGAGCAGTGTCTCCTTTAAATGTTATTTCCTGCTGGAGTTGCCTTTCTCTGTGCTGTTACTTTGGCCACTTGTCCTGCTGCCATTTCCAGCAGAAATGGCCTTGGCCATTTGTGACCGTATTCACAGGGGTCTGAGGATGAGGGAAGAGATGAGGATCTGATGCCACGTTTCAGAAGGCTGATTTATTACTTTATGATATATTTTATATTAAAACTATAGTAAAAGAATAGAAGAAAGGATTTCATCAGAAGGCTGGCTAAGAATAGAAAAAGAAAGAATGATAACAAAGGTTTGTGTCTGGGACAGAGTCCAAGCCAGCTGACTGTGATTGGCCATTAATTAGAAACAACCACATGAGACCAATCCCAGATGCACCTGTTGCATTCCACAGCAGCAGATAACCATTGTTTACATTTTGTTCCTGAGGCCTCCCAGCTTCTCAGGAGGAGAAATCCTAAGGAAAGGATTTTTCATAAAAGATGTCTGTGACAGCCCTTGGCTTGGTGCAAGAGGAGTCCCCTCAGAGCATGGCTTGGCAGAAGCCCCTTTGCAGCTGTGGTGCTGCTGCCCTCTGAGCTGTCCCCTCTCTGTGCAGGGACGAGCCCTCACGCCCCGACCAGCGTGCACGTGGTGGCCGCCATGACCTCAGCCAACGTGTCCTGGGAGCCCGGCTATGACGGTGGATACGAGCAGACTTTCTCAGTTTGGTACGGCCCTCTGTGAGTCATCCTGGCATGCTTTGCTCTCTGCTTCTTTTCCTTCCTAGCCGACCCGAGCTTGGAGCAGCCGGGGGGAGGAGGGTGGGGAGGGTGGCGTGGTGTGCCCAGCTCTGTGCCCAGCTCTGTGCCCGTGGGCCTTACAGGGCTGAGCTCCCTCGGGGCTCCTCTGAGAGATGGGTGGTGGTGGTGGTGGGATGGTGCAGTTCCTGTATTTCCTCTCCCTTCTGTGCTGGCCACTGCCTCTGTCTGCCCCAGCAGGTTTTACTCTGCTTGTGGTGCACAGGAGATGCTTTGCATTTGTGTAGCTGTGCCTCTGGCATCTAATTTCAAGATAAACTGTTTATGAGGCTTAACAGCCAGGGAGAGGATGGAAAATGCAACCTTTAGAGAGTGTGTCCTGGAAGAGCTGTGACTAAGCAGAAATGTTCTCTCCTTGCTCTGTGGCTCCCTGGGGGATGGTTAAATCCCAGCTGAGATCATGACCAGCCACTGTGAGATGCTGGCACTGGGGCTTTGCTCCCATAACTCCTGTGCTCCCCAGGTGCATCCCACCTTCCTGCAGCAGGGCCAGGCTCAGCCCTGTGCCTTTCCCCTGGGGCAGGGGAGGGAGAAATGCAGCTGCAGCAAGGCTGGGGTTTTCTTTGGGCTCTGCTGTTGTCGTCTTCTTCTAAAGAATCATCCTTGGAAATATGGAGGGGGTGATGTGTTCCCTTTCCAGGCCTGGGCTGATGTTCTTCAGCCTTTCCTCTCGCTCTCTCCTTCTTTCCTTGCCTTAATTTGCCCTGATGGAGGCTGCTGATAGAGAGGAGAGAGGGAGACGCTGCCTGTAATGATTTCTGCTCTGCTCCAGCCTGGGGCTGGGCTGTCTGTCTGGAATGGAAAGAAGGAATGGATTGAACTGAGAGGGGGAAAATGAGGGAGCAAGCTGAGCAGTGCAGACCTTGCTTTGATGAAAATGTCCTTGGGAAGGAGTGGTTAAACCTCTCTGCTCTGGCTGCATCAGCAGCTGCTGCTGCTCTTGCTCTGCAGGCTGCTCTCAGATTCCTGCCTCCTCGTGGCTCCTCCAGACTCCACAGGGAGAGAGCAGCCAGCAGGGCAGGGTGTTTGCACCAAGCCTGCATTCAGGAATTCACAGGGAGCTGTGGGGGCTCAGGATAGGGAGGCAGTGTCCTGCCTTGCTCTGACCCTGGGGTGTGATCCCTGGGGGTTGTGCTGTTCCCTGGGCATCTGGGGGATCTGGGGCACAGCTGGCTCCTGCAGTGCCATCCACAGTGCCATCCATGCGCTCTCCTCACTGCTGTGGCTCTGGGATGCTGAAGCAAAACAAGCCTCCATTTTCTCTGGATTCCTGCTCTCCTCCTGCCTCTGCCATTGTTGAGGCTGGAAATGCAAACCCCTCTCCCCAGGGTGGCCAGGGCCAGCACAGCATTCCAGCTGCACCACATCCTCCCTCAGCAAGGGGTTCTCGCAGTTCAGTGCTGCATTTCCCTCCTGCTTTCCCCACCTCAGCCCCTCTCTGCTGTGTCCCTGCCTGCAGCAGTGCCGGGAAGGAGGGATGTGAGGGCACTGGGATTGAACACTGCAGGGAAACTGCCCAGGAGAGGAGCTGCCCTGCTGCCCTCCTGCCTCTGCCAGGGTGGAGGGGCACCCTGGGATCTGCAGTCCCAGCTGGAGCTGCACTGATCCAGAGGCTTTCCCTGGGTTTGGCAGAGGCACACAGCACATGCATGGCTCTCCACTGACCTGCTCGTTTCCATGGCTTGCTGCTGCTTCTCTGCCTCACTTTCTGCTCCCTGGACAGCAGCAGTATTTCTCTTTCCTCCATCTTTTTCCTGCTGGGTGGATTCACCTGGCTGTGTGCTGGTAACTGCAGATGTGCCCTCTTATGTGTGCAGGACAGACCTTCTGCACCAATCCTTCCCAAATTTTCCATGGACACCACCAAAACCTGCAGCTGAGGGCTCAGATTCCCTAAAACATCTTTCTAATACGAGCAGTACGGTAGTGGTGCAGTGGTGCTGCTTTGGGATGTGGGATTAATGGCTTGTGGAGGTGGCACTGGGATGGCTCTGGGGGCAGTTTTCACCCTGGGGTTGTGGTTAGACCCCAGCAGAAAGGTTCTGTCCTGCACCCCCTGCCAGTGCCTCTGCTGCTCTGCCAAACCCTGAGTGGTGCCCCAGGCTGTGCTGGCAGCCCCCACCTTGTCCAAATGTGGCAGAGATGGGGATTTAGTTAAATGTCTCTCGTGGGATGACATGTACAGGGCTACAGCTGAGGGAGAACTTGGCTCTGGCTCAGGAGATGTCGAGGTATAAATGGGAACAGGGCCTGTCTCCTGCGTCAGCCGTTCCCTTTGCAGCACTCCCAAAATGCTCCAGCTCCCACTTTTGCCCATGGCAATCTGGTGGAGATCACATCAGAGCGGGGCTGTTGGCACTGCTGCCATCCCTGACCCAGCTCAGGGCACAGGGGAGAGCTCGTGGCAGTGCCCCTGAGAGCTGCTGGGACACCAGGGCGTGGTGTCCTCTGCCAGCTCGTGGGTGGTGAGTGGCTTCCCCATGTCCATCCACATCACTGCTGTCAAACCAAACCATTGCTCGGGAAAGCTCCATTTTTGCATAAGAAGTTAATGCTGCCTCTCTGTCCTCCCTGTCAACGACACCTCCCCCTGAGGATGCTCCCTTTTCTCTTGGCAGGATGAAGAGAGCCCAGTTTGGACCCCATGACTGGCTGTCTCTCCCTGTACCAGCTGGTTCCAGCTGGCTGCTGGTGGATACCTTGGAACCAGAGACTGCCTACCAGTTCAGTGTCTTGGCTCAAAACAAGCTGGGCACCAGCTCCTTCAGTGAGGTGGTCACTGTGAACACTCTAGGTAGGTCCTCCTTGGGAACAGGGGAGGGATCTGTGAGGTCTGTGGGGAGAAGGGCTTTGCCTTCTCCATGTTTCCTGTCTGCTGGAGATGAACATCATCAGCAATAGTTTCCAGCCATGTAGGGGATAGTTTGTGGAGGGTCCTGGATGAAGCTTGCAGATTTTGCTGGATGCATGAGGCTCTGGAAGGCTTATCCTGAGAGACAGCATGGGGGAGCTGCACTGTGCCCGTCACCTTTCAGATCTTCCTTAAGTTCAGCTGGGATCAGGAGGTATTAATAGAGCACGAGATCACTTGTTACAGCTCAGAGCCTTAGGGCTCTCTGGTGGAGGTGGGAGGAAGCAGGAAGGCCTGGAGTCACGGCCTCATTAGTCCAGTGCCTTTTGAAAATCCACTTTTCTATTTCTATGATAAGAGACTAGAGGTGTCCTAGACTCCTGGAATGTGGGAACAGCCACAGTGGTCCTTCTTATCACCGGCCGGGGTCTGTGTACAAATCACAAACGGGATGGGACTGCTGTGGAACGTGCCTTGAGCTGTTTTATTTTCCAGCATCAGTTTCATTGCATTGTTTTGACAATGGGAAGATGCCACCAGCTCACATCCTAGGCAGCAGAGCAAGAACTTAATGTTACAACTTACTGTATAAGTTTTTTGACCAATCTCACAAAGGAAAAGCATATTGACAGTAGTTCTATCTAACCACTATAAGCACATGTACCTTTGGTTAAACAATGCTTGCTTATTTCAAATACAATACCTGCTTGTAAGCCTTAAAACACAATGCACAGAGCTTCATTATTAAGCTTCAAACTTCCTAATATCTTGCTAGATAAACTTTCCTGTAGCTTAGAGAGTTATTCTAGACAAGCGTTAATACACAGATCATTGTTCTATTTGTCCTTGCTTTTCTAATTTTTAAATAATTTTTCTGCTGATCTATCTCATGGGCTACTGCTTAGCTCTAATCACGGTTCTGCTGTCTCTGAGGCCTGCCTTTTGCAACTTTCCCAAAACCCCCTGATTTTGTGGATTCCCACACTTCTGCTGCTGCTGCTGGGGGCACGGGTGGGAGAGGATCTGCTGTGCTTGCCCTGCCCCAACTCAGAGGTGTCCCTGTCCCTTCTGCTCTGTCCCCAGCATTCCCTGTAACAACTCCAGAGCCTCTGGTGTTGGTTACCCCACCGAGGTGCCTAACAGCCAACCGGACACAGCAAGGCGTCCTCCTGTCGTGGCTCCCTCCCGCCAACCACAGCTTCCCCATCGACCGCTACATCATGGAGTTCCGCGTGGCGGAGAAGTGGGAGATCCTGGATGATGGCATCCCGGGCTCCGAGAGCGAGTTCTTTGCCAAGGACTTGTCCCAGGTGAGCAGGGGATGGCTGCCCACACCATGCCCAACTCAATGATCCTTTCCAGCCTTCACGGTTCTGTGATAATATTGCACCATCTGCTGCAGTTCCGGGGAAGTTTTGGAGTGGCTCGATCAAGGAGCTGGGCAAGATAGAACACTTCAATAATTTTAATTAATGGTATTAAGTAATCACAATCAATATGCATATAATGATAAATTGTGTGTTATTCTTCAATTACTCTTAGCCAGCATTTGTATAAAGTTGTTATAAGCAACTTCTGTAGGAACACAGCTTGAGAAAATGGCTAAGACACAAACTTTTGCTAAAGCCACTCTGATATTCTTCAATGAACAAAGCCTGGGAGAGAAGGATGTGTTGTTGAGGTTGGAATGTAGGATTTATGGGCCACAAGGACATTTTGCAGAAAGCAGAAGCTAAAGAGACTAACAAAGTCTCAGTATACATTAGGAAGTCCCTACAGGAGGAAAAAGATACTAAAAATATGCACTAATTAGCATAAGAAGCGAGAAATCAATAACCAATAGAGGATAGAATATGAATTAATGAAAGAGAATTGTGTCATTTAGAACCAATGAACAATAATTTTTGTTTGATGAAAGCCTATAAATAGATGAAAAAGTTTTGTATCTGTGTCTGGGTGGAGGCCAGAATTTTGGTTGGCCGCACAAAATGTCCACACACCCCCTGGGCAAGGATAAAAACGTGGCTTGCTGATATTAAAATTGTGTTGTTAGAGGGTTTTGTTAGAACCCAGGACATCCCTCTGGCTGTCCTGAGCAGCCAAGACCCCTGCCAGGGGGCTCAGAGACCCTGGCACAGAGCCCAAGATGCCTGTGGCTTTGATTATGACCCGTGGAACAAGTTACCAACCTTAGATGAAGATCTGCAAGCCCTGAAAAATTAAGTAGAATGATAGTGAATTTATCACAGGTTGAAAAAGTAGATTTTGGGGTTTTTAGAATGGGGATTCAGGGGGGCAGGATGGCAGGATCTGGGTGTGTCCAGCCTTTCTCCTTCTTCTTCTTGGCCTCCATCTTCTGCTGTGATGTTGGCACTTTTAGATTGGTTTAGAGCAGAAGCTCACTGTCTAACATAGGTGATAGGTATTGGGAAGTAATTGTAAATATTGTACATATAGTTTTTAGTATAAAAAGATAACACTGCCCTGGGGCAGGCAGATTGCTAAGTGGACTTCAGCAGGACAGGAGAAAGAATTTTATAGATAAAGAACCAGAAACAACCTTGGGACTGAGAAATGAAGAGCCTTGACTCCTTTTTCAAGCGCCAGGCTGGGAAACGAGACTTTTGAACTCTTCTTGGGGTCGCTCTGACAAGCTAGAGATCCCGACAGGTTCTATGGGGATGTTGGAGGCTCTGGTAAGACGAGGCTGTGTGGGTCCCTGACAGGTGTGTTTGTTGTTGCAGGACACCTGGTACGAGTTCCGCGTGCTGGCGGTCATGCAGGATCTCATCAGCGAACCCAGCAACGTCGCTGGCGTGTCCAGCACAGGTGAGGGCTGGCTCCTCTCCTCTCCTCCCCCCGGCTGTGGGGCTGTGAGCTGGGCTGAGGGAGGGGTGCAGGGCTCTCATGGGTGTGCTGAGCTGACCCCGATGGGAGCAGGCGAGGACAAATCCCCGGAGCATCGCCGAGCCGAGCCCGCCCCGGCTCTGCGGTGAGCCTGGAGAACAAAGCTCCGAGCGGGCACTGGCGCAGCCGGGGAGCGGGAATGAAAGGTGGAGAGAGGGAAACGTAGCACTGCAGTGCAGAGTCCACAGGGAAAAGGGCTTTGCAAGCAGGGAGGCTGCAGCGTGCTGCAGTTCCTGCGTGTTCCCTCTGCACATGCAGCGCTGAGAATGCTGCTGGAGCCAGGGGCAGGCGGAGGAGGGTTGTGATGGCGTTGGGAAGGAGGGCAGCAGGAAGGAAGGGATGGGGATGCGGCGAGCCCGGATTTTCTGGCTCTCTTGGAAAAGCCTGCTCGGCTGTGCTGCGATGCCGCGGTCTCTCTCTGCCCCCAAGTGGTGCTGATGTGGTGAGGAGAGCTTGCTGCAGATTCCCTGCTCGCTGCCCTTGCTCCTCACGCCCAGGTTTTCTGATGGGGTTTGGCAGGTGCCCGGCCCCAGGCAGCTGCTCTGCCAGGCTGAAAGCTCCATGGGGAAATGCACTGATGCTGGGTATGGCACACGGCAGGAGCACCGAGGTGTGCAGGGTGCACATCTGCACGTGCCCACAGCTGAGGTCTGCTGGGGCTTCACACGTGCTCCTGTTGAGCAAAGGGTTTGCAGCCCAGTTTGCATTGGAACGCTGAAATGAAGCACTGACAAAGAGGTTGAAATGCCTGGTGCTGCTGCGGCAGGTTATTCAGCCAGGAGGTGACTATGGTTTTGCTGCAGTTGTGTGTGTTTAGACCTAAATGTGTATTTGTTTGGTGTGGAGGCTTCTTCCCTGGGTGTCCACCAGCTAACACAGAAAAGTTTATCAGGTTGCTTTGGGCAATCTGATCTATTGAAGATGTCCCTGCTAGACAGCTTTAAACAGCCCTTTCCAACCCAAACTATCTTATGATTCTGTGATCTGGTGTGCAATCACCAAATCCCTTGGCCCTGAAGCAGTGCTGATTGCTCTCCATGGGCGGGCTGGCTTGGAAGCAGGGTCTTTACAGAGATTATCATTCCTGGAGACGATCACTGCCTCCACACTGTGGCAGCTCCCTGGGGAAGGCAGCAGGTGTAACACTGAACTGTGTTTTTTTCCCCCAGATGTTTTTCCTCAGCCTGACCTGACGGACGAGGGCCTAGCCCGCCCGGTGCTGGCTGGCATCGTTGCCACCATCTGCTTCCTGGCTGCTGCCATCCTCTTCAGCACACTCGCCGCCTGCTTCGTCAACAAGCAACGCAAACGCAAGCTCAAGCGCAAGAAAGGTGAGCCCATTCCCTGTGTGCTTCCTCCCTCCTTCCTGTCTCCCCCTCGTTTCTGCCCCCTGGTTGTGTTGTGGTCGTAACCTTCTTCCCTGTCTGTCTCTTCTTCGTCCGTGCGCGTCCTCAGGTGAAGCCCTGACTTCCTCCCTCGGCTGTGCCTGAAAGCGCCCGCGGTCGGGAGCGGGAGAGGCAGGGTGGGTGAAGAGGCGCCAGAGAAACTAGCCTGGGAATTCCGAGGGAGCTCTCCCACGTGGTGATAACTGCTAGAGCCGGGGGTTTAGGCTGGGCTGTCCTCTGGGATGCAGACGGGGGGCACTGCTCACCTGCTCCAGGTCACCCTGGAGCTGGGCTCTCCAGCTGCTCCCAGCATGGAGCGGGCAGTGCTGGGCTAGAGAAGACCCCAGAGGAGACCCTGCTGCTCTGCTTCCCAAAAGCTGGGACTGCAGCCTGCGTGCAGGAGTGGCTGGTAGGGAAAAGGGCGGCTGGGGAGCTGGAGAGGGCAGGGAAGCGGCTCCGTCTCCTCCAGCCTGCGGGGCTGTGGCAGCAGGACGGGCAGGACCCTGTGACGGGAGCTGTTTGTTGTCAGCAACCATTAAAGCACTGGAGCAATGAAACCTTGGCCTCTTGTTGAGTGTTTTTTGTTGTCGTGATGTTGAGTGTTTCTTGTCTCTGTCGTGTTGCGCCTCCTCAGCGTTCTCTCTTCTTTCCCCTTTTTATTCTCTTCCAGACCCTCCTCTCTCGATAACCCACTGCAGGAAGAGTTTGGAGTCCCCGTAAGTATCTGTCTTAGCTGTGGCACCAGGCTGTGAGGGTCTTCAAGGTGCCTCCCTCCTACAGTCATTGCAAAGCTCAAATGGAAATGTCTCATCCTTATTTGGTTGCTCCTGATGAGTTGTTTTTGAGTGTTCCCTGAACTTTTGGGAACACAGCAGTTCACAAGAGACAAATGGGCTTTGGAGCAGGAAGCAGCAGGGACAAATGCAGCAAGCTGAGCTAAGAGATGACCCCGCTGGATCTGTGAACACTTTCCAAAGCTGGAGTTGGCTGATGGAACTCAATTTCATACCAATTGGAAGGGGCTCCTTAGGACAAGGACTAGCCTGCTACATATGGAGTCCTTCCTGCCAGCTCAGTGTAGTTTTTGAGTCATTCTCTGTTGACTCTTTTTTTCCTGGGAAATTCATCTTTTCTCCTGAAGAGTGCCCTGCTGAAGCTGCTTTCCACATGTACCCAAAGGTGGATTGTGGTGCTGCAGAAGCTACAGCTCCTTGCAGAGCCCATCAAAAGCATGTGTAGCTGCAAATCAGCAGGAGCATCTTCCCGGTGGGAGTGCAAGAGTCTGGGATGTGGACACCTCATTCTTTGGCTCCTCGACTGTTGGAAAATGTCCTGGTGCTGGTGGATCTGAATCTTACTTGTTTTCAGTTCATTCCCTGCTCTCAAATAACCTGCACTATCTGTTGGATCTGCTGTCTTTTACCTCTCAATCCTGTTTGTTCGAGGCTTTCTGGATAGGGATGAGGGAACTGTCCTGGTGCTCTCTGCCTTTTGAGGTGCTCAGCCTGAAGTCTGAGTGTTGATAATGGGAAAAAGAGTTGGTTTGAAATGATCCGTCAGCATCTCCAAGTGAGATGCTGAGTTCTGTGGGAGGGAACATTTGCCTGATGTCCCTCTCAGGGCCTTTCCTGGGCATGGATAGCTCAGGTGGACATAGGAAAGCCCAGAAGGAGTTGGAAGCAAGCTCTGGTTGTGTCTTTTTTCTCTGTGGGGCTGTGGAGCTTGTTGCAAGGTCTTGTTGTAAGATGTTGGGGTGTTGGTGGAGCTTATTGCAAGGTGTTGGTGTGAGCTTTCAGCCCTGAGTGTTCCGAGCTGCCCTCCCAAGGAGCAGGGATGTTGTGCACTGCCGCTGGTGAGACTCTGCCATCCTGGTTAGCCCCTGCCAATTTCTCCCAGAGGTTCCTCTTTTGAGAGCTGGTAGCACTTTGTTTCCCGGATCCAGAGTTGTTCTCCTGGGCAGGAAGGGCTCCTTTCCTCCCCGGGTGACCGTCCCCTCTCTCGGTTTTTCTCCCCTGTGGTCCAGGTTGTCTTCCGGCAAGGTGAGTCCCGAGAGCATCCGCACACTCCGTCCCCCCTCGGAGTCCTCTGACGACCAGGGCCCTCAGGCCAAGCGGATGCTGAGCCCCACCAAGGAGAAGGAGCTCTCCCTTTACAAGAAGACCAAACGAGCCATCAGCAGCAAGAAGTACAGCGTCTCCAAGGCGGAGGCCGAAGCTGAGGCCACCACTCCGATCGAGCTCATCAGCCGCGGGCCGGACGGACGCTTCGTCATGGACCCGGCCGAGATGGAGCCCTCCCTGAAGACACGGCGGATCGAGGGCTTCCCCTTCGTGGAGGAGACGGACATGTACCCCGAGTTCAGGCAGTCGGACGAGGAGAACGACGACCCCGTCGTCCCCACCTCCGTGACCGCCCTGAAAGCCCAGCTCACCCCTCTCTCCTCCAGCCAGGAGTCCTACCTTCAGCCACCAGCATACAGCCCCCGGTTCCACCGGGCACTGGAGGGTCCCGGCGCCCTGCAGGCCACCGGCCAGGCCCGCCCGCCAGCCCCCCGGGCTTTCCACCACCAGTTTTACGGTTACCTCAGCAGCAGCAGCCCCGGGGAGGTGGACCCGCCGCCCTTCTACATGCCAGAAGTCAGCCCGCTGAGCTCAGTCATGTCCTCCCCACCGCTGCCCCCCGAGGGGCCCTTCGGACACCCCACCATCCCCGAGGAGAACGGGGAGAATGCCTCCAACAGCACGCTGCCCCTGGCCCAGACCCCCACGGGGGGCCGGTCCCCCGAGCCCTGGGGCAGGGCCGAGTTCCCCTTCGGCAGCCTGGAGCTGGCCCCCGCGCCGTTCCCCCACCAGCTCCAGCCCTGCGAGGCGGCCGAGGGCTCCCAGCCCACGGGCTGCCTTCCTCGGGGGCCACCACCCTCCTCCCTCCAGGTGGTCCCCGCATCCTACTCGGGCATCCTGCCCCTGGAGGCACCAAAGAGCTGGACCGGCAAGTCACCGGGCAGGGGTCAATCCTCCGTGCCCTCTACCACCAAGTGGCAGGACAAACCTATGCAACCCATGGGATGTCAAGGGCAGCTAAGACATACCAGCCAAGGTATGGGCATACCCGTGTTGCCTTACCACGAACCGTCCGAGCCCGTCGGCCCCAGCGGCACAAGCACATTCAGCCTGGACACCAGGTGGTACGAGCCCCAACCCCGACCTCGGCCCAGCCCTCGGCAGGTCAGGAGGGCTGAGCCCAGTTTACATCAGGTGGTGCTACAACCTTCAAGGCTTTCACCTCTGACCCAAAGTCCCCTGAGCTCCCGCAACAGCTCCCCGGAGCTGACTGCCCGCGCCCGGCCCCGCCCGGGGCTCATCCAGCAGGCGGAGGTGTCGGAGATCACGCTGCAGCCGCCCGCGGCCGTCAGCTTCTCCCGCAAATCCACACCGTCCTCCACGGGATCTCCGGCGCCGAGCAGCCGCGGGGACAGCCCCAGCTTCCGACCGACCACCGCCTTCACCCCCGTGGGCACCGGCTTCTCCAACTCCCAGGGCTCCTCCCTGCCCGTGGACACCATGGATGTTTTCGGAGACATCCCTTCTCCAAGGAGGGCTGGCGAGGAGATTCTCCAACCGGAGCCGACATCCACCACCACGGTAGCCGCCACAGGGTAAGTGCGTGAGCCCCGTGGTGACCCCCCCCCCCGGCCCCTTCCTGGCTTCCCCCACCCTGCCTTACCCACTCCCTCTGACTCCCTCCCTGCCATCACCATCCCAACTGGTAGGGTCTCTCTGGGCACGCTGCAGCATCCCTTTTGGAGACGGCGTCCCGCGGGCTTTGCTAGGCAGAGGCTGGTGCCACGGGCACGGGTTGCATGGCCGCCGCCCGAGAGCGCTGGGTTTTAGGCAGGCGACCTTCCCGGTCCCTCGGGAATCTGGGAGCGCCGTGAACTCGGGCTACGGGCCGTCTACCAGGTGTACAGAGACCTGGCTCGCTTAGGTAAGTGTCCTGGTGTCACTGGAGGTTGTTTCCTCTTCTAGCTGCTGGCTCTTGGCTTTCTTCGAACGTTAGGGCCGCCGCCGCCGCGCCTCTGTCTTCCTCCTCCTCTTCCTTCCCGCGGAGTCTAGAGAGCTTTAATGCATGACAGAAACAGCTATCACGGTCACCGCCCCACCTGCAAAAGGGATGCTGCAGCCCCAGGACGCGGGCAGGGAGAGATCAAGGACTTAGCCACACCAGCAGCATGTCAGGAGAGGAGCAAAAATAAAAATAAACTAAGCCCAGCGGAGATCGGGAGGCTGCCGGCACGCTCAGATCCTGCCCTAAAGAGGGATGTGGCTGCACTAGACAGTAGCGGCTGGTTTTCCAGGTACCAGGGTTGCTCCAGGCAAAAGCGTCTCTCTCTCTCTCTCTTTCTCTCTATTTCTCCTCTTTCCTTCCGTCTTTCACAGCACCTTAGACCCCGTAGCCGTGCTTTCGTCCCATCCTTTCGTCTCGCTTCATTCTGGCTTCTTGTCTGGCGGGGTCGAGCCCCCTCCTCCGGCTTGTGGCGGAGAGGAGTCGGGGGCCGGGGCTGCCGGCCCCGCGGAGCCGGCGCGGTCGGAGGCGTTCGGAGGAGAGGCTGTGTTCTGGGGAGGGGGGAGGCAGCGTTTCACCCCGCAGTGCCCTCCGCATTTCACTCCCGCCCTCTGGTACCTGGAAGCGTTATGGCCTTAGCAAATCCCTCCGGCACTGAACGGAAGGAAGGAGGGCTCAGGGGAGAGAGGATGGGGAGGGAGAGCAGCTGGATGAGCCTGAAATGACTTCTGTGTGCCTCTGGAAAACCCAGCTACGGAGCGATGCAGTCAGGGATGTAGTCACAGGTCCATGTGTCTAGCAGGGCATGCCAAGGAGAGCCAGCTCCGGGACAGAGCCGTGTTAGAGCAGCACTGTTGTCCGTGCTTTTATGCAGTGTATCCATTCGCTTCGTTGATTATCGTTTTTGTTTCTTCTTTTCCTTTCTCTTCTGTTTCTTTCCCCCTTTCTTCTCCAGCCTCGTTTCGTTTGTGTTTCAGTTTGGTTTCTTTCCCTCCTTTTTCCTTTGGAGTTGTTGACGTGCTGATGTGTTGCGGAGCTCGGCTCCTTGCGGGTGTTGATAACTGCTTTGTTTTTGATTAATCTCAGCTATCTGGGCAGTGTTGTCGAGACAAGCTTCTCCTCAGCTCAATAGGTAAGGGTGATCCATGTCCGAAAGGATGGTGTGGGTGCTGTGGAGGGTGGCCGGGAGCGGGGCATGACAGGGGACACGGAAGGGGCTTTTCCAATACCATCTCTTCCTTTAAAGGGGAATAAGGAATGTGAAAACACCAGGAAACACCTCTGGACGCACAGTCTCTGTGGCTTTTGGGTTTCCCCTCCCAGCAGCACACGCTGCTCCCCTGCCTTCGGGGCTGGGGTTTGGGACGAGCCGAGCTGACGTCTCCCTGGGCCACCCTTCCTTTCTTAGGGGCTGGTGACACACGTGGCACTTTTGGCCCTGGCAGGGTGCACGAGGGCTGTGTGGTGTTAGGGAGGTGTGTGTTGAGGTGGGGTTGTCCCAGATGATCCAAACCAGGAGGAGCCCACAGCCATCCCCTGAAGCCAGGAAAAACAGCCACCTCTGGAGCTGCCAGCTGCAGACAGCGTGCTCAGAGCGGGTTCCAAAAATCAGTCTCCAGCTGCAGTCCAGCACGTGGAGAATTTTGTTTACAGCAGTGTCTGGATTTGTTTTCTTTTTCCCAAGTCTCCTCAATCACAGAAAATGGGAAAACTCTTTCCCCCCAAGATGGATTGTATGCTTGGCAGCAGCAGAACCATAGTCTCAGGCTGCCAGAAAGGTATTTTTTCCTTCCCATCACAAGTGTAGTATTAGGAAAATCCTTCCATACCTGAAATTCTCCTTGGAGAAATCTTTGACTTTTTCTGACCCAGCTGTAATTGAACTGCCCTAAGCAGATCTTGAAAGACTCTTCCAAGAAAATTCCTCCTGGGCTGCCTTCATGGGGCTGGTTTCCTAGATAGCCATGGGCATTTCTGGAACTGGGATGGAGTAATCTGGAGATGGCTTTCAGATCTTAGAAGCAGAAGAATATCACTAGAACTGCCAAATGCAGATGGGATAATAGTAATTTGTGACCCAGAGGATTGGCAGCACTGGCCTGTTTGGCCATCAGCCAGGCTGGCTGTGAAAGCAGAAATGGGATTGTAGATGGGGCTGGTTCTAAAGGCGTGGCCATGCCCAAACTTCCTTAGGACAGGTCTTACAAAAGGTTGAAGCTTTGCTGCCTTGGTTGGGAAGAGTCAAGATCCTGGCGGATTCTCTCCGACAGCCTGAGGAGCCTTGTTGGGCTGGGAAAGAGCCTCATGAGAGAGAGGTGGGATGCCTACAGAAATCAGGGAGATGTTTCCAGGAGAGGGGAGTTCCTCCAGCTGACCTGGAGGGTTGTCCTGGGGTGGAGAGAGCAGGATTGGCGAGGAGGGGGTGTTGGATGTGTGTGCTCCGTGGAGGAGCCATCCTCTTGGCATGACAAAACCCATCCTGTTTGAGCCTCCAAATCTCTTGAGCACTTGGCTGCCTTCTCCTTCTGTTTTTCTTTGCTGATCCCAAAGCAGGGCATCCCGTGAGGAGCAAAGCTGGCACCAAGCCTTGGTGAGATCTGGGCTGTGCCAGCCTTTTTGGGAAATGGGGAAGCCCTCAGAGAGGATGATGGGGAAGCCCTCAGAGAGGATGTGGCTGTTTGTTCTTGCTCTGTGACACTTCCCTGCTCTGGCAGCATTAGGGACACGAGCAGACATGGCTTTAGCACAGCAGAGGTGACTCCAGGCTCGTGTCTGAGTTTGGTGTGGCTCTTGCCCAGGTCCTGGCTGGCTCCAGTGCTGGCTGATGTGGGCTGATGGATTTTGAGGAGCAGGGTGACACTGCCCAGCAGGGTGGGAGCAGCCATGTGTCCTACTCCAGGATGCTGCTGGGAGCTGCAGTCACAGGGGCAACTCCACAGTCATTATCCCCAAAAAGGGGAAACCAGAAGAATAAATCTCACTTCAATAAGCGAGGAATCCCGCAGAGAGCCCAGCCGAGTAATTTCTTGATAATTTGGGGTCATAAAATTGTCAGTGCATGCAGAGCACAGGGATATTATACCAGACCAGCCAGATTTCTCTATTGCAGCATTGGAAGCTGAGAGGAGAAGGAGAGACAGCATGTGAGCTCCTTGCTGCAGCATGGTGGCTTTTGCTAGGTGAAGCTCAGGTAGTTTTTATGGATGGGCAGAGATACATGATGCAGCTACTGAGCCAGCACGAGGAGTTCTCCCATCTTCTTTTCCTAGGATGCAGCACGCATCTTGGAACAGGGAAAAGGGAGCTGTCGTCTCCCTGCAGAGGGAAACCCAAAAACCACAGACAAGGCACCAAGCTCCCCTGCCCCTCGGCACGGCAGCCTGCCCTGGGAGGCCTCCCCAGGCCCCCCTTGCCAGGGCAGCCCTGCCAGTGCAGGGAGCTGGGGGGCTTGGCAGTGGCGTAGCGTTGAGTGACCAAGGGACGTCGGCGCCAGGCGTGCGGGAGGAGCAGCAGCCCTGGCTCCCCGCTTGAAAGAAAACAGGTTCCCCTTTAAAGACTGTCCATGTGCTGATCCTCTGCATGTGTTCCATGCCTCCTTCCGCTTGGAGAAGTTGTGAGTCCGCTTGTCTGAGTGCGTTTTTTCTTTTCTTTCTTAATTATTATTATTATTATTATCATTATTATTATTATCGTTACTTTATTTTTCTTTTCAGTCTCTTTAATTTCCTTATATATTTTCTCACTCCTGTTTTTCATTTATCTTCCTCTCTCCCCTCCCCTTCCCCATGACTGTATCCCCCTCTTCCTGTCCAGCCCGGCCCCGTTTCCCTCGCCTTCTCTCCTCTCCGTCAGCATGGTGGTGAAGTCCGTTGTGTAGATGAGTTGTGGTGTCTGCAGACCTGTAGAAGGGCACCCCTTCTCTGGTGTGCTCCCCACTGTGACCAGCCCCTTCCTCCCTCCCTCCTGGCGGTGCCTTGGCAGCAGCAGCAGCCCTGGCCTGGGGCTGTCACCGCCGTGTTTCTCTGGCACCTCTTGTGCTGAAGGATCCCAAGCGTTCCGGGATGGAGGCAGCAGCCTCGGAGCAGAGTGGGAATCCTGACTTGCAGGAGCCTCGTGTAGGAGAACTGAGCTCTTCATGTGAGGAGGATGAAGGGTTGAAGGACACAGTGGGCTCCTTTCAAGTGGATACTCTACTTTATCCAAGTGCATGCTCTAACATGCCCAAACTATTCCTGGATGTCAATGTCTTGGCTCAAGGAGAGAAGGAGACAGGGAGGGTGTGTTGAGACCTCCATGAGGTTAAATATATGTAAATATATCTATAGTATCCTTGAATCTCCTGGACCCTTCCTTTATATGGGTTCTCTTTCAGAGTGGATGGTTTCAGGGGTCTTCTCCCTTATATCTTTGCTTTGTACACGGAAGGACATTTGACGAAGAGCAGCTGTGATGTGTGTTGGACTGGATACTTCTCCTCTACTTCCTTTTCCTGTCCTGGGGCTCTTGGAGGTCCTTCAGTACCTTTGTGGCCTCTCCATTATCTCCCAGTCCATGCAGTACAGACATGTGCTCATGCAGAAGGGTTTTCCTTTGAAGACTTGAGGAAACCTGCTGCTCCAGGTGTTGGTGGTGCCTCGCAGAAGGTTGGTGCCAGGAGTTCACGTGGGCTTCTCAAAGCTCCTTTGCTTGGCTCTGCACTGAAGTTTCCAGAAGAAGTTCGCCCACGTCCCTAAACATCTCATCTGTTGGTATTCAAGAGCTCCTTCGTGCGTGGGCAGCTGCCCAATATGTGAACTCTGGGGGCAGGAAGAGGCTTTTGGCAGAGTTTAAAATGAAAATTAATTGGGAAGAATCGGCGCCCTTTGAAGAGATAAAGGGTGGGCAGAACAGATAAAATTTGGCTGCTGAGTAGCAACGTTTTGTCCTCTGTATCCCTTCCTTGCCAGAGGTCAGACAGTATTTATGGTGACACATGGGTTCAGTGCACTCACTGTTTATGTTTGTGTGTATAAATACGAGTTCAATTACGGAGAACTAGTGGAAATGAGCTTCAGGCAATTTCCTCATAATCCCTCATGTAAATCTGTTTAATTTTGTCAGCATGCCACGACAGCTTCTTCTTAGAAAGAAAACAGAGTGGAAAGAGAAAGAGACTTTTACAGGCTGAGCTTTAATAACAGTGGCAAAAGCTGTCTGGGTGGTGGGAAGAGGTGGTAGAAGGCAGGTGCTGGTGGGCAGGCTGATGGCAGGATCACCGAGCTCGGTGCTGTCCAGGGCTTGGCACACCTGAACTCTGTGTGTGATGGAGCTGGAGCAGCTGTAGTCACATTAGCCAAGTACCTGCAGGAATGCAACTCATGTGCACCCCACAGAATGTTGGCTATAAGTGGAACAAGCCTGACATGGGCCATTCAAGCAGGAATTGCTGCAGGGAATGCCATGCTGTGACCTGTGGGTCACTGTGGTCCTGCCTTCAGCCAGCATGGTTGAAGCTCGGTTGGTTCAGCTCTGAGGGCAGAGCTGCTGCTGGCAGCATCTCTCACAAGAGGCTGATTGCACTTGGGAAGGCGTTTGAGCTCTGCAAATGTAAACGTTGTCTTCTGGATGAGGAAAAGCTTGGATCCAGCCAGCGGGACTCCCGGCATGTCTAATGAGCTGCTTCATCTTTGGCTGATGTGATGCTCTGCTGGGAGCTGGAACAGAGGCTCTCCAGGAACTCTCCGCACCCTGACGTCTCTGTTGCGTTGGAAAACATGAAAAGGAGCTTTTCTGTGCCCAGTAAAAACATGAAAATGAGCTTTTTTTGTGCCCAGTGTTTGGGTTTCTGTTGCGTCTGCTGCGCCTCAGCTGCTTCTTCACCTCACGCTGCACTTCCCTGGGTGCTCTCCAGTGCTGCCAGCAAAACTGAGAAGCTTCGCAATCACACTCATCTTCAAAAAAACCCAAAAGCTCTTCTGCTCCCCAAGGGGAAAAAGCTCCTGGGAGCTCCTTGCCTGTGCACTCCAGCTGAAATTTAAACGCTCTGGAGACCCTTGGGATGTCGGATGGGAAGCGCTGCTGTCACACTGTGCCCTGCACACATGGGGGAAAGCCTGCAGGGTGTCTTCAGTGCCAGCCAGGCTCTGCCTGGACCCCAGGGGAGATGGGGAGCTCCAGACTCTCCGTGGGTGGGTGTACTCTGGTACCACAGCCCGGGAGTGCAGGGTCTGTGCTCCAGCCCATGTCCTCGCCCCTTCCCTGCTGCTCCTGCCAGCAGCCACGGCGTTTTTGCAATGCTGGATGGGGCACACCTTGCTGACAGATGGGGGGACATTCTCCTCAGTGGTTCTGTGCCCCAGCAGGAGTCTGAAGGCACTGATGCTGCCTCTTGCAGCCAGCTGAGGTGGCTTCTCCTGCTGTCCTGCTGCCCGTGGCTTGTGGGATTTGCTGATTGCTGCCCTGGTCACAGATGGATGCAGGAGCTGCCATCAGCACTGTCCTCTGTGTGGCTCCTGTGACAAGGTTTGGTTGCTGACCCCTGGTGACCAAGTTGTCAGAGCACAAGAGCATCATCTCCTCCTCTGAATGGTGCCGGCAGGCTGGTTTAAATCTCCTTTCCTCGCCGGAGCCTGGCTTAAAATGTTGGCTTTATCACAGTGAAAGGTGCTTTGTGGAGGCTTCCAATCTTCTCTGGATACCTTGTCTGCATGTGGCTTGGGTTTATCCCAGATGGCCTCAGACTTCTTCTGTGGCATTAGGAGCTGGTGACTCTTGGAGGCTCATGGAAGTAAAATGGAGAGGGGGAAGGAGATGGGAAAGCAGCAAGAAGGGGGGGATGCTGTGATGTGCAATAGATAAGAGCTGGACTGCCTGCTCTCCTAAGGAAAATGTTTTCCTCTAATGCTCTGCTCTCTACAGCAGTCATGCTTTCCAGGCCTTGGATGGGAAGAAACAGGTACAGTGAAGGAAATAAAACAAAAAATTTCTTTGCAAAGGGGAGGATACTGCACCTTGAGCTGGTTCCTGTAGAAGAGTTCCCCAGGGGGTACAGCTGATAAACTATCCCTTGCACCTGCTGGCACTCCTGCAGGAAGCACCCCTTTGCAAACGTCCTCCTTGTCCTTGCAATAAAACCCTGTCAGTGTTTCCATTTCCAGCTCCCAGCCTCTCGCTGTTCCAGGAGCAGATGCTCCTGTGCTGTCGCGTTTCTGTTGTCGCTTCTCACAGGGACCTGGGAGCGAGGTACCTCTCCCAGCTCTGTCGGTGTGTGCCCTTGGTGTCCCTGTCTGTCGTGTGGCCCCTGGTTTTTCTGGCTGTGGGAGCAGGGCCAGCAGGATCCTGCCTCCCTGCTGTTTGTGGCGCAGGTGTTGTCCGCCCCGGGTGGCTCGTGGTGCCCGTCTCGATGCTGCCGTGCCGCTTCTGCCTATCTCTTTCTCTTCTCTTTCCATCCCAAGGGGTTTCCTATCACTTCCCAGAAATGCCTTATCGGACATAGGATCTGCCCCGTCCTGTTTTGTCTAGCAGTGTTGGCATGGCAGGCAGGTGAGCTGGGGATGCCCACGTTGGATGTGGCACCGGCTAGGTCGCGGTGCTGCTGCAAAACCTGGAGGAGACATAGGGGCACAGCGGGGACGCCTCACTTCCTCCAACCCGTGCTCTGGCACACCTGGCTGGCCCTGCTCCCTCGGCCCTGGGTTTCTCACCTCTTCCTTTTCCACGGCAGAGCCAGCTGGGATCGGCCGATCCCCCACCGGGGACGCCCAGAGGCCCGAGCGTGGCCTGGAGCCGCTGATGGCACGTGTCTGCTTTTCCTTCCTAGAAAACGTCCATCTCCGCCCGGGGACGCTGCTGCACCTGAGAGGCTCGAAGCTCTGAAATACCAGCGGATAAAGAAGCCCAAAAAGTCATCCAAGGGCTCCTCGAAATCCAGAAAACAACCCAGTGAGTGCGAGGACCCCACGGTCCCCAACGGCATTCCCTGTGTCCTGCTGTGAGCAGAGCTTGGGCAGATCCCTGCCGGCTCCAGCGCTGGGGTTCTCCAAGCCCGTTCCTGGATGCTGCCCTTGTTCCCTGCCTCCCAAAGGGATGTCTCCCCGGGCTGCTTGCCTGCAGGTTGTCCCTCCTTTGCTCCTCCAAACCGAGTCCTTTCCATGCATCTCCCATATTTAGTCATTTGTTTGGATTTTGAGTGTTAATTCCATTTTCCCTGATGCCCGGCGTTTTCCCTTCTTGCCACGCTGCCTGTTCAGGGCCAGGCTTGCTGTCACCTCCCTTTTTCAGCAAGCAAAGCGCTCTGCTCTGCCCGCTGCAGGCTCCAGTCCCATCTGCCTTCTCTCCCCCCTTCCCAGATGGCTCTGCCTCCCAGGTTCAGCACCCTCCCAGCTCTCAGGTACTGTCACCTGACGAAGCTGTCTGCCTCCGCAAGAAGAAGAGACACCCTCGTCAGGACCCCTTCGCCCGGCTCTCAGCGCTCAAGGACGACCTCTGCCACCGGCAGCTCCCTGAAGACCAGACAGCCATTCTCAACAGCGTGGACCACGATGACACCAGTGGACACGCCACCCTGCTCTAGCCTAGTGCCGGTGCCAGGAGGTTGAACAGGAGCGGTGGAGGGAGCTGGTGTCACACCACGGGGGGATGGAGGTGATGGGAAAGAGGGGGGGACACCCCTAAGCTGTCACCTCTCTGAGGGGTTCGGTGGCTCACGGCGGGGACGAGCTGGGGGGGGACCCGGGGGATGTTTTGGGGAGGATGCTTTGGGCTGGGTGTTCCTCAAATCCACTTCTCCCCCACCCCAAACAGTTTGGGTGGGGTGGGAAGGGGGGTGTTGCACCTCGGTGTTGGAAAAGATCTCTAGGCTTCAAAGGCATGGATGGAGCTTTTGACATCTGCGTCGGCAGCGCGTGTTTAGGGGGAAAGTGTGGGATTGAGCAGCTGGCCCTCAATCGCCAGAAGAAGTTGAATGACACAGGGTGTAATTAAGTGACAAGAACCTAACAACCCAGGCGGGAACTGGTAATCCCATGAATCTGATTATGATAAAAACATGACCAAATAATCCCAGGAAAGATGTAATTGTGAAAATCTCCCTGCCTCCCCCTTCCCAGCCTCCTTTGACGTGAAGGTAACAGCAGCAAAACCATCCGTGACATCTATCCTTACCTATCTCTGAAAGGGAAAAGCCAGAAAGACCCCCAGCCTTGGAATCAATGTGAGAAATCACCATTTGTCTGTGTGCAAACGCACTCGAGCCTCGGTGACGTGTGCTTGATGCCGTGCGAGCGCGCAGGTGCGGGGCTGACGCGATCTGAGGGTGTTTCCCCCTCCAGGTGTGGCGTGTGCCAGCTTTGATGAGGGCGGGTTTGATTAATTCTGCCCGACTGCTCTGTGTATCTCAGGCAAATGCTCTTCAGCGCCGCGTGGTGATGTGATTTCTTACTGTGTGATGTTTAATCCCTACCCATAACCGCAAAGGGGGAGACGCGGGCGTGCGAGCGAGCGGGGTTTGGCTGCCTGGTCCCCAAAGCCTCCGTCGGCAGGTGCTGAGCCCCAGGGAGAGCATCTGGAAGTGCCCAGCTCTGCGGATGGACGTGGACGGCTCCGTGCAAAGCTAAGCCCAGCGTTTCGCGCCAGCTTAAAATAATGTTGCTGCTGGTTTCACCGTTTTTCCCTTTTTCCTTCCTGCTCCAGCCTGGTTGTGTCGGCTGTGACACGTGCCAGGGTTGTGTCCCTCCCTTTGCTCCTTGTTCCCCTCAGTAATGCTGTTCTGACTCTTCACCAGAATGTATTTCCTCTTCAGAATAGGGTAGGTTTGGTGGCTGGTGGTTTTCTGGATTGCATAGGCCTTTTTTTTGGTTTGTTTTTAGCAGGCAAGGTGTAACCCGAGAACAGCTGGGCTCACTTTTCCTGCTCTGCCTCCACTCTCTGACTGCGTGGCCTTGGGCAAGTCACTTGACCTCTCTGTGCCTCAGTTCTCCCATCTGTAAAATGGGGATAAGTCATATTTGAGCACTTTGGACAAGCACTTGGTGGCCTACAGACTGCAAGTGCTATGTAAATGCTTAGTGCTAATACCAAGCAATCCCTACCTTTAAAATATTTAGAGTTGGTTCTTTTTTTTTTTTTTGTTTGAAGTGGTAAAATCAACCACTGCATCCAGGTTTGCACAGTTCTTCCTCTGCGGTAAAGTGCTAAACCCTCCAGCCTGCCTGGGAATAAAACACCGAGTGTTTCATGTAGATATTCTTGCTTTGAGTGGATTCAGGCTGTAGAAAAAGTGTCAGGAGAGCTGGAGAGCCTGCAGGCATGTTTTTAGCCCCAGGCTCTCTATTTGCATATGAAACTTTTGTTTATTCCCAGGTAGAATTGCCAAGAGATTCTCTGCAATCTCGCCTTTAATTCTGCTTTGCCTTGGTTTTTGCTCTTGCTGCTGGTTGAACCTCCAAGGGCTGAGATGTTTGGAGGAAGACGTGAGCTCTCGGTTGTGATCTGGCTCTCTGACCACGCCACGCTTTTAGGTCGGAGCCTGTTGATTGCTCTGCCTCCATATACCTGGTTTTAGAGGTTGTGCTTCCTTTCCCAGCAGGATGCTCGGGAACCTGTGGCCACCAAAAGCAGAGCACCATGTCTTTTCCAATCTCCAGGCCCTAAGTAAGGTTTGAACCGCTGGACAATGAATCCTCTAAATCGATAACCAGATATTTCTGAGCTTTAACAACTTTCTCAAACCATCACCAGGTTTGTCTTGGGAAGGAGGGAGGGTCTGGCAGAAATGCCCCTCTCTTTCCAGCCTGCACCAGGGCTTTTTATTGACATGACGAGTGACCTGACGTAAGAACCTCAACTCTCAGAGTGAGAACTCAACCTTGCTAACCAGTATGACTGCGAATTTCTTTTCTTTGGGTGTGTTTTTAGGGGTTTTTCCCTAGAACCCGCTCGGATCTGAATTGATTTAATGCCATTCTCCCGCTCGGCAGCGGGGAAAACTCTGCCTGGCTTGGCCAACTCCAGCTCGCCGGTCACTCCAGCCAGGCTGCTCCTGATGGACAGGTGACCCTCGGGGCTGGGGGAGGCGTGGAGGCTCTGTGCTGCCCGTGCCATGGCCAACTTGCTCTTCCTTTTGCTCTCATTGCCTCAGCCTCTGGAACAGAGGGTTGCTTTCCCATTTGAGTGCTTTCCAAACGATTTACGACACCCGTTCGGATGGGCCAGGCGCTGTCTTCAGGCTCTTGAGGTTTCTACCTCAGGACTATGCCCCATCCCATCTTAAGGAGCTCTAGAGGACTTGGAGTGCAGGGCAGGTTGACGGAGCATGCCGGCTTGCTGGGTCAGTCTTTTGAGATTTGTTTTCCTTTTGCAGGTGTTTTGAGCCACTGGGCTTTTCATGGTCTTCGACCTTTAGAGGCTGGAGCTGCAGCCCTCTCTCTTTCAGCCGTGTACCTGCCACGCTGCTGGAGTGGGAAATCCCGCCCGGGCGCCTCGTGGAAGCAGCTCCTCCCTAAAACCATCCTTAACTCCTTTCCCTGCTAGACCGAGTTACCTTCCGATAGACTCGGGCCGTGCTTTGGCTGACTGGCTCGCCTCTTGCTTTGGCAACCTCCTCCTCGCTTCTCCCAGCCCTCTGGTTTCCATGCCCTTCAGGGTTGCTCCTCTCTCCTTCCGTGGACCTGGAAACATCGAAGCCATGTCAGACGATGCCAAACACTTCCCCCATTTCACCCCCGTTTGAACTCCGTGTCGCTTTGGTGGTTTGCAAACACAGCTGCTGTCGCTGCTGCTGCTGCTTCTTCATTATTTTTTTTTTTTTTCCTTTCATGCTGCAAAATATATCTCGATTTTTATCTTCCTGGGCCAAACTCTCTTATTTTCTAAGCTGGTCTGAGGTAGATGGCTCTTTCTGTATCAGTAACTGTACGATTCCTCCTTTCACGCTGTGAACATGATGTTCCATTAGGTCCCTTGGCAAATCCTGGCCCACGGTGAAAAAATTCCTCTGAATCACAAGGATATTGTCCCTGGGCTCTGCTGGGGTGTCAGTGCAGGGATACCAGCTCAGTTTTGGGGGGTCCTTGCTGATGCTTCTCCCTGCAAGGTGGCCATGGTGGGGATGCTCCAGCACTGGTTTCATGCTGCCTTGGGGGTTGCAGGACTGGGACACCCTGAGCTGGGGAAGGTGACATGGAGAGGTGGGTACAGGATGCCACTGGGATCCTGTGGAAAAGGGGTGCTCCTGGGCTGCTGTCCCTTGTAGTCCAACAATGAGTCCTGGAGCAGGCAGGGAAAAAGGGCAGGGAAAGTGCTTTGCCTGCTTTTCCAGCAGGGCTTGCTGAGCTCTCATCCACGTGTTTCGAAGGTGACTTTGCTGTGCAGCCCCAGCAGCGTTTTGGCTCTGCGGTGTTGACGTGAAGGAAAATGCAAGTTGGTGAAAGGGGGGGAGCGGGAGCGTTCAGGGCTCGTTTGTAGGGCCTCATTTCTGTGCCTGCCACTAACAGCACCCACAGGCACAGGGAGTGATGAGTTTGTGGGATGGGGGAGCTGCAAGGTCCCAGGGCCCCTTCCCAGTCTGAACCTCGGCATGGTTTGCAGTCTGCCCCCTGAGTCTCCATGAGCCCTCATGCTGTCTGTGTGAGCAGGGCATGCTTTTCCTGGGGGGATTCTCATTCCTGCTCCCCTGTGACTTGGAGGCTGCTTTGGGGCACTGGGGGACTCCAGGCTGTTCATCTGGTGTTTGTCACCTTGTCAGCTGGCTCAGTGCCACTGGAGGAAGGCTGGAGGTGATGCTGTTTGGATATATAGATGTAAAGGGAGTATAAAGGGAATAACAGCTTGCTGTACCTACCTCTGGGAGTGTTGAGGACACTGGGTATGGGATCAGCAGCCCAGGCACGGTCCTGGCAGGGCTTAGTCATGTCTGGTGGCATACAGACATGACACACATTCCAGACTCATTGCTGCTCTCACCTTGCTGTCTGTATTAGGACAAAATCCGCCTGGCATTTTGGTTTCTCTTCCTGCTTCAGGCAGTGACGTAGATCTGAGAGTTCTCGGAGTTTTGGGTTGGTTTCAGCTATAGCTCTTGTCTGGAGGTATTTTTCCATGAGGCTGGACCTTCAGGGATTTCCACACGTCCCACATGGGCTCGCTGCAGCCCCAGACTGAAGTCAGGGCTTTTTTGGAAGGAAATCTTCTCAAGGAACCGGAGTAAAACCCACTGTACATATGAGATATAAATAGCTAGAGAAGCGTAGGACAAAGGTAGCTAGGTTTGCAGAATTCAGTAGATTTGCATGTCGGGGTATGTGTGTGTCATGGGGAGAGTTTAGAGCCGTGCTGGGGCAGGGGATCAGGATGGGCCAAGCTGGGAAGGGGCTGGGAGCAGCTGCAGCCTGAGGGGAATTTGGGGATGGAGAGGCACCGGCGTGCGCTGCGCGGCGGCCCTGCTGCACACAACAGATCACTCTGTTCCATTATTTCATCCCCAGTTTTTAGCTTTGCTTTGTTCATTGTCTGTGACTCACCTCTGGGCCCTGAGATGGAGGAGCAGGTGGGACAGGTCCTGTGCTCTGCGTGGCCGAGGCACGTGGGGCGTGACACGGGACACGACACAGGAGGGGGATGTCACGTTGCCTCATCCCCGGTGCCATCGCTTAAAGAAAAAGCTGCACCACGCAAAAACCCTTCCCTCAAGTCCCTCTAGATGCTGCTCTCTGGTTACTCGTGTGAAAGCATTTTGCTTTGCGTCTGTTCTTCCCAGAGAAGCGTGAGTCAGAAGGGATGAGAGAGGGATACAGCTAAATTTGTCCCCTGAGCTGAGGAATGCAGCACTGGCTGTGCCAGCCAGCCCCAGCAGTGCCTCCCGGGAGGGACAGGATGTTCTTGACAGTGTCTTTTTATTTTAAACCTCATCAGCAGGACTTTGAGGATCTGAGGCAGAGAGGGGATGTGGTCACCAGTGATGCCAGAGCTGGTACTGATGGGGGCAGCTGGATTCAGGCTGGATCCCCACTCCTCTCCCAGAGCCATCCCTGTGCTGCCTGGGCACAGGGTGGCCCTTACAGAAAGCAGGATATTTACTCCCATTTCGCCCCTTCAGCTTAATTTTTTTGGGTTTTATTTTCTGTTTCTGAGTATCTTGACTCCTCTCTGCCTGTGTTTGTGGGAAGGAGAGGTGGGAAGTGCAGTTGTTCCTGTTAGAGATCTGTCAGGGCACGCTTGATCCAGAAACTGAGGGCTGCGAAGCAGCGACCACATTTGGCAACACTGGTGCCAGCAAAAGAAGAAACTTAACATTGCACTCAATTTCCATCAGCTGGCACATCCCCAAGCAGGGAGGACCAGTGTGGACAGACGGGGGCCTGTTCCCCTGCCTGGGTGACTGGGATGAGAGGGAGCCGTGTTTGCCCATTTTCCCCAATTTCAGATGTTTTGGCACAGCTGGCTGAGCTCTTCTCCTCGGCATTGTGTGGCAGCAGGACGGGCATCCCCAGTCCTGGGGCTCTGGCTGACTTTTGATACGTGCATGGATGGAGGAGGGACCTGGGGAGGGGGTGGGCAGAGGGGCTGGTCCAGGCTCGGGGGTGTTGGATGAGGCAAGCATGTGCTGTAGAGGTAGATAAGGATTTTTGTACAGGTTGCAGTGGGGTGGGAAATGCAGGATGGAGGGGCTGGCATCCCCCATGGAGGACAGATTTTTGCCCAGATTTTATATTTACCATCGAAATGACACTTTCTCTCCCTGGAGGGCTTTTATTCTTGTTCTTCTGAGGTTGCAGGGCTGCAAAAGAGGGTGCCCATCTTCCCGGGTCTGAAAGCTCTTCAGATTTCCACCCACTTCCCCCCCCAGCACTTAGATTAAAATAAAACACACAAAAAAAAAAGACTTGAGAAATGGGCCCCAGTATCTCTATCTAAAGAAATGATATTGGTGTATCGAAACCGCATTGTATATAAAATTAAACAAATATATATTTAGTCTCTATTTTAGAAGGGGGGAAGAATAAATATTTAAAATAATTCATTAGTAATAGGTGTCAGAAACTTCTGTGCAGCATGAGAGAGGCTGTCAGAGGTGGGGAGAGTCTCAACAGCAGGAGCAGAGCGAGTATTTTTACATTATATTGCGCTTCAGCTTCTCTGCTTCTCCATCCACCTATAAATAGACAAAAATATATATACAAATATATATATATATATATAAAAATTATATATATCTAAGTCACATAGCTGTTTTATTTTTGTATCCATGCCTAGTGCTGTTTGAGCAATACAGTGGCGAGGGAGAGGAGGGCTGGGCCAGGCTGGGGGGCTTGCAGTGCTCCGGGGGATCTGCCCTCTCCAGACCCAGCATCACCACTGTTTGCTGTTTCAATAGGGAAAAAACACTAAAAAGGGACAAAATCCCGGGATGGGGAAGCCTGGGCTTGCTGCCAGCTTGCCCAGGGCCGTGGTGAGGTGGTGTTTCCACTGAGGGCTGTCTTGGGCTTTTTTTTCTCAGAGAAAAAAAGACAAATTTCAGCTCAGAGGAGCAGCAGGCAGCTGCAGCCTGGCGGGGTGGCACAGGGTGGGGACACGCTGTGGGGACAGGATCCCCACGCTGCCGCCTCCCTGTCACCTGTCCCTGCTGCCCTGATAAACCTCGAGGGTTTCTGAACCCCTCAGAGCCACCCAGGTGGCCACAGGGGGATTCTCCAGGTCCCTGCACCCGGCTGGAGCGGGGAACCGGCTCTGTAGGGAATGTCAGGACCTGTCCAGGAGAGACCCGGGGCTTGCTGGTGCTGTGGGGCTGCTGGGGTGCACTGGGGCAGCATGTGGGGCTCTCCATGCCTGGATGGGTGGGATCTGGGTCTCTCCCTGCCTGCATAGGGTGAGGGGCTCTTCCTGCCTGGATGGATGGGTTGAGGGGCTCTCCCTGTCCCTATGGATGGGATGTGGGGCTCTCCCTGCCTGGATGGATAGGATGTGAGGCTCTCCCTGCCCCTCTGGATGGGATCTGGGGCTCTCCCTGCCTGGATGGGATGAGGGGCTTTCCCTGTTCCTCTGGATGGGATGGGGGCTCTCCCCGTCTCTCTGGATGGGATGTGGGGCTCTCCCTGCCTGGATGGGATGGGGGCTCTCCCTGTCCCTCTGGATGGGATGGGGGCTCTCCCTCTCCCTGTGGATGGGATCTGGGGCTCTCCCTGTCCCAGTGGCTGAGGTGGCATCGAGCCCTGGGATGTGCTGGGGATATTTGGGGCTTTTCCTGCAGGGCAGTACGGACCCGCCGCATCCCTGTCCCCTTCCCCCTGGGCCGTGGCAGGACAAGGAGCCAGTTTGGGACTGAGCAATGCCAGGGAGCTGCAAACCACCCCTCTGCCTTCGCTGGGGCACGATTTGGGGATTGTCTTCGGGCAGTGGCGACCGGGGCTTCGCTCCCCTTGGTCTGTGTCCCTCAATCCTGGGTTCTGGGGGCATACAGGTGCTGTTGTTTGGGCTCAGATGTCCCCAAGGGGACGGTGGCACAGCCCTGGAGTGCTGACACCCCTGCAGAGGTCCCTCAGCGTGGTGCCCGCTCGCAGGAGCTGCCCCCTCGCAGCAGCCCCGTGTCCTCCGTAGGTGTCACCTGTATTTTCCATGATATTTCTCTCTCTTCTTCGTCGGGTCGGGGGGGGGGCTGGGGTGGGGGATGTTTCTAATATCCAGCCGAGATTTGTTCAGCACCAATTCTTGATATTCGAAGCAAAGCATGTTTGGTGGGACTAACTTGCATTTATTAGCGGTAAATACATAAGTGAGTATTTTATATGTTAAAAAAACCAAAACAAATGGAAAAAAAAAAAAAAAAAAAAGGATGTCAGGAGAAAGAGA